CAGCATCCCTTGTCATGTGTCTCTTTTCCAGGCTCCTGCTCCTGTTCCTTCCCTTCCCCCACAAGGGTTGTTTGTTTGCCTGGTCTTATAATCCTCCTATTTTAAAGGCCACTCCCTAATTTGGTGGGGTCTGTCCATTGGTTCCAGAATGCAAATTGGCTTCCACCTCTCCTTAGTTTGCATAGTTCAAAAATGGGCCATTCTTCTGTCTCCTGGTATACTGCTGTGACAGTGCAGGCAAGCAAATGGAAATTTGGCTCCTTTCAGAGTTCTGCACATGAAGCCTCCTTAACGCTCTCATATCCTAAATCTGCCTTCCCCTTCCTTTCTCTCTAGTTCAAACCCAAGCGTGTGGGAGCTGGTTTTCCAAAGAAATCCAGCTCGTTCCAGGCCGCTTCGGAACTGCTGAAGGTCGAGGAGGAGAGCGATGCCAAGCCTGTCAAAAAAGATGATTGTCCAAACGGGCAAGACAACAGCAACTGCAATCTGGAACTGGACACTAGAATCCCTGTTCTACAGAAGAAAGAAATAGCAACCAAAGCAGTGTGTGAGAGTGCTGCGGAAGAAGTACTCCTTCCTGAAAAGAAGGGACAGCAACCCAGTCCAGACACAAAAGCTGCCCTTTGGGATAGCCCTCCTAAGAAGGCCAAACCTAGCAAGAAGCAGCAAATGCTGGCCGAAGCAGCCAAAAAAGAATCACAGGACATTTCCAAGTTCTTCTCCCTCGCTAAAGCTGGATCTAAAGCCACAAGTTGCAGCTCAGCAGAGGAAGACTGCTGCTCAGCACGGACGCTACCTCAGGTTTCTTCTCAAAGCATGTGTCAAGAGAAACTGATACCTCAGGAAATCGAAGAAGTCTCTGGAGAGGATGTGACTGGACAGTCCCTGGCAGAAGATAAAGAGTTAGACGAGAGGGAAGGAACACTGACTGAGAGAGAGAAGAACTTTAAGACCCAGCAGGCTGCTAAATCTGAACTCTTTCAGACAGAAGTTGATGAAAAATCCAGGTAAAATCTCCATCTCTGTGCTCCCTACATTGCTTTACTAACTACCTGCAGAGGTCCACCAGCTTTGTCCTGGGAACTGGAAATCCATGTTAGAGGCTGGGGAGGGAGGCCTCCTGCTTTTACCAGGGAGAGTCTCATGGTCACTGACAGTGAATGCAGTAACATCTTTACTGTGGAATAATTAAGATTGTCCTTCTCTCCACTATTCCCATACCAGTGTTGCTGAAACTGTCACAGAAACTGAGCTAACTGCTGTTGGGGAAGGTCAGAATAGGAAGCGACCAGGATCAGATGAGGTGAGACTTTAATGGATGCTGTTTTCCTCAGCTCCTTCTGCTCAGCTTGTGCCAAGTTTCTCTCTGGGAGTGATGTTCCTAGTCTGAACTTCACCTAATAGTGTTATTTATCTGGGGAGGGCCCACGTGCAGAGAGGAGAACCGTAGTCGAATTGCCCTCCTGGTATGCCCCTTCTGCCCGCTGGGCCAGTGCCAGCAACTCAAACTGCAGGTCTGGAAAGCCTCCCTTCCGCTCTGCTTTGTTTCCTCTTCTCTGAAATGCATGTGGTTGTACCCTTTGCTGATGACTTGCCTGGAATGAGTCTCTCCACCTGTCTAGATTGGTAACTAACTATAATTAGCAAGTTGCTTTCTCAAGTCAAGGGAGCAACCATAGGCCAATAACACATAGGACCACTCAGCAGCAGACCATGGAAACAGCCTTCCTTGCCATTCAGTCCCTGGTTCTACATTTGGTGTCTGTGACAGTGCAGTTTTTTTTCTTCCTCTTCCAAGCTGAATGGGAATGCAGCTCTCCTGTGGTGGTTGATTCCTCCTGAGAGGTATATTTTCAGCAGACAGCCTGAGAGATCTTTTCTTACCAGTCTTTCCTGTATAAGAGAGGGTCTAGCAATTACCTGCCCTAATAAAAGCATAGGCTAATTCTAAATGTGGTAGTCTTAAAGGACTTTTTCAAAGCCCCTTTCCTTTGTGTGGGAGCCGGGATGATATTATGGCTGCACAGCTTCATCTCCCCAGGAAGCAGGCAAAATGGGTTACACAGATTCCTGCATGGTATTCACTATAGGAAGAGCCTGCTGCAAAGATTCATGTTCTCAGAAGGCAAAGGCTGCTTGGAAGGCTAATGCTGCTGCAGGAAGAAATGGTTTTGGTTTTCTTCTGTCCTGTCTCCAGGATATGGAAAGCCCTGAAACAAAGAGGCTACGGACAGCAGCAAAGTCTTCTATTCTGTCCCAGCCAGAAAGCAAAAGTGTTGGTCCAGCAAAGAAGAAAGTGACTTTTGATCCAAACATATCACAGTGTGATAAAGAAGGAACCAGCAAGACCATCCAGCCAGTGACCAAAGGCATGTCCCTCAAAGAGACAGCAGACATCGTTGTGAAATATTTGACCCCATTCTACAAGGGGGGCAAATTTGCTTCCAAGGTAGGGCATGGTTCAAGGCCTTCTCTCTCAGGATACTGAATCTACCTCCAGTGATCTGGGGCTCTAAGAAGGGAAAGGTGTGATAGGGATATTTCTGTCCCAGTCAAATGTTGGTATGGGCTGCTGTAGTGACCCTAGGTCCAGTAACTTGCCTCTCCCAGGAAAAGGGTTTGTGGGTGATAAAGTGGCATCATGTTGATCCTATACTTGCTCAGAAGCGTTCATGTTTTCACACTAAACTCTGGCAAGTTTTTTAGAACTCCCACCTTGTGGAATGGCAGCAAATCAGGTTCAGCTTTGGTCTGGTTTATCTGATGTATTCTGCAAGGCAGCATGTGTGTGCACGTGCTCATCCAGTGCTGAAGGGTCAGGTCTATTTGCAGGCTTACAGCACTCCTGTAGTATAAATATATGAACAGCTTGTGCTACAGTCAGTCCATGCTAAGGGCAGAACAAGTGTGGAAATGGTTCAGTGACACAACTGATCTTGATTTCCTGTTCTTTCTCTTCCCCATCCCTGCAGGATCTGTTTAAGGGCTTTGCTCGGCACCTGTCTCACCTACTGACTGAAGAGCAGAACCCTGCCCGCAAGATTGGTGAGTTGGCAGCTGGGGATAGCATCAACAATCTTGGGTTCTTTTGAAGGTTTTGCTTCTCTTGCAGTGAAGGAAGAAGCACAGAGACTCATCAAGGAATTTTTCAAAACACGGGTCAGGTGTGAGAGCGAGACAGACTGGCAGGAGCTGCAGAGCTCAGAGAGATAATCTTTGCATCTTGTTGGCTCTCTTCCTTTCTCGAGCAGGTGGGACCAGGGGGCTCTTGCCGAATGTGGCCAAGGAGGGTTTTGTGAAAAAATGCAGAAGGGAGCTTTTTCTTCCCACTGCATTTTTTTTTTGTTCTCTTCTGTCTGCAGTGTCACCTTAGTGACACACACTTCCAGGTAACCAGTTTCTGTGAACTTGTGAAGAGTTTCTCCAATGACCAGGGCACTGAAGCCCTCCAGCACATCTTGCCAGGAGGTGTGAAGTCTGCATCTGCTGCGTAGGTTAGGGGCTGCTGCCTCAGATGTTCTGCAGTGCCTCCAACCTCTGCTCCCTGTAGCAGTCTGGGAAGGGCTGACTTTCCAGTTGGGACTCTGCTTTGGGGATAGCATCCTCTTGCTCCCTAGATGGCTCCTCCCCTCACTCCCCCATCTCTTATGTTCTTATTTAAATGTTACCAATAGAAGCCTTATGCTACAAACACGTTCACGCGCTTTGCTCAGGGCTGCCAACGATGGAGTTTGTGGTTGAGTTCCTGGATGGAACGTTTTCCCTTGGAGGGTAGAGTTTTGTTTTTACCATGTGGGCATTGCCTACTTTCTGAAGGTAGAGAAACTCAGATCCTTTTTGTTTTAATCCTAACTTTTTTTTAACTGTGTCTAGTTCTGCCTGCCCTTTAATTTAAGTGGTGATGCTCTCTGTGTTAACCTCTCCAAGGGTGGCAGCAAGGTTGCTGACACTTTTCCAGCATTTGCTTGTAACCCCTAAAGCCATATCTGCTCCCTGTGCCTCACCTACAGCATCCAGTACAGAGGGCAATGCTGCTGTTACAACTGGTTAGCATACTGCTGTGGCCCTTAAATTGATGCTGTGGTGCCTCTGCTGCTATATTTATATAAGGACCTGAACCTTTAGGGCATCAGTGTGCTTTAAATAACCTGATCCCCAGGCACAAGTCCTTTCTGTCGGGTTTTTGTTGGGTTCTGCCTTTGTTCTGTGTCTACAGGAGGATGGTGGCCTCAGGTACTAGTGCTGCTAGAGGAATCCACAGCCTGAGAAGCCATGAAAGAAACAGGCTTTTGAATCACTTGTACTCAACAGATTCCTTTTTTTTTTTTTTTTTTTAAATATACTGAAGGGTGTGTGCAGAACTGACAATAAAATGATGTTATAGCTGCTGTGGACTCTTCTTGGAAACTTTCTTACCTATCATATAAACCTATCTCAAGTTAACATTAAGACAATGCTCCATGCACAGTGGTGTGTTCCATCACTGTGAACACAGACACAAAAGCTCATTATTTTTGTTTGAACAGGCAGCCAATGAATGCAAGACTGGGATACGATGGGTAGGAAGTCTTTGGCGGCAGTCAGATCCATCCCCTGATAGCTGCAGGACTTTTCCAGCTAGAACCAGAAGAGGAGCTTGGAAATGTTTAACTCAACTCAAAGTCACTTTTGTCTTCAGCTTGGTGTGCTCACAGTTGCTTGATGACTTCTCCTTCACCTTCCCCTTAAAGATCCTGATTTACTGGCCACTTAGGTGGGATTACTGTCTCTCTGGAGTTTAGTGCTTACCAAGTTCAGCTGCTGTCTGGCTGGGTCACCTTCTCAGAAGTGTTTTGTGTGGCTTGTAAATCAGGGGGCTCTTGTACGGATTCTAAGGGTATAGGTTGCGGAAAGTGTTGAATCACCATGTGTGGCATTTCTAACCAGGAAAGCTGTGGAGGGTTGTGCCTCTGTGGAGGGTAGCAAAAGCTCATTTAAAAAAAAAAAAGGGGGGGGAAAGGATGAGTTCAGCCTCAGAACTCTCTCCCTCTCTTTCATGTTGCTGTAGTGCTTCACCTAGCCCTAAGCAACGCTGGTGATGGGGGAAAGGTGGAGCATGCTTCAGCTGAGACCTTCCAGGCCCCAGCAAGTAGCACTTGCAGGGAAGTTCCTGATAGAGAAGACTCAGCTGCTACTGCTATCATCAGCTCACCAGCAAGGAGTCAGCTGTGCGTCATGGCTTGCACTGAGCACCCTCAGATCTAGTCCATTCCCAGCCAACAGTAACATCCTTTTCCTCAAGCTTTTCCAGTTACTGCAGGTCACCCTTCTCGTGTTATATATAAACTAGTATCTGTCACATCATAGCTGCAAAATAGCTCTTATGTGATTATTTTATTGCAGTCCCCTAAAAATGCAGGTATGTTTTAGTTCAGTAAGATAGCGGTAGTAATAAAAATAAATTAAGCATTTTTATACAAACCAGGACTCTATCCTCTGCCATAATACAAGTTCCCTTTGAATACTCTTTTCTCCATGGGCATGGAGCCATCATTTAACTACAACAGCTGCGCAGACCTGACTGCCTTCTTTGTAATAGAGGGAGAAAAAGATGTACATGATTATGTCAGTAAGAAATTAATTAACAATAAACATTCTTACCCTTGCAGCTCAATCTGTGATCCAGCACATGTGGTAATTGCATATTAACACTGATCTGCTTTGTAATTAAGATGCTTTCTACAATCTCCTGCTTCACAAACCCTACTGCAGGGCATCTCTTGCACATCAAGATAGAGAAAAAAACTGGTCTTAGAAAAACACCAGCAGCCAGTGCAGTCATATCATAGCCCTGGCATTGATTTCTGATGCAAAAAAAAAAAAAAAAAATCTCTAGCAAGCATCAGTCTTTGTGCCTGTTAATTAATTCAAAAAAGAAAGAAAAAACAATCTCACAGTGCATAGCCTGAAGGCAATTGCCTCTGTGCTTCCATTGGTTCAGCTGCATTGTGATGGAGCAGGCTATGAAAAAGCAATAGTGTGAAAAACGTGTCATGTGGTTCTTTCAGCCAGCACATACATCACTTCAAGGAAGAGTATAGCCCATGGGGATCGAATTGCAAGTCACATGAGGTGAGATTATGGTCCAGTCCATCAACAAACAGACCATCACTGTGGTGGTAGTCTTGGAAAGCACCTGAGAGCAAGGATGGCTTTTGGGAGAGCCTTCTCCAGCAGACAGGGCAAGGAGCACAGAACAAGCCCAAAGAAAGGAAAACAGCACTGTTCTGCCTGGTCAGTTCTTCTCTTCTCAGGCTCTAGTGCTGAAATTCAGTTTGACTCAAGATGACACCAATTGTGTGATACATTTCTTTAGCCTGTCAAAACACAAATCAGTACCAGTTATTCTCTACTTACTGCTGCTCCAGAAGTCCCTGCTTATCATAATTAAATATTCCCACAATTAAGTATCTTCCCATAAATAACTTCCCATAATTAAGTATCAGCTGTGCACTAGAACTCAAGCTGCACTCTGGAAACTAGGAGATACACTGCCCCAACCACCTCTGGGAGAGAAGAGAGCAGAAGCACTGTCTCTTGGTAATGGCTCAGCTGGGCAGTGCAGGGCAATTTCTGAATTACCAGGAGAAAGCTGGGGGGGGTCAAGGCTGATCGTCTTACCTGTGACAGTTCAAGCCACAGAGTCTTGGGGCTGGCAGCTGAGCCATAGTTCAGTTCTATGCCAGGAAGCCCGCCATCAGAAACAGGCCGCAGAGTTCGCATCTTCTGCAGCTCTTTCAGTGGGATGACACAGCAGATCTGTACAAAGAGACAAAGACACAGAGCACTCTGGCACAGTGTTTAAGAACAAAACCACCTGGTTCCGGTCAAGGAGGATTTGTCTCAAAAGTCTCTTAAAGCAGAGACAAGAAGTGGGGCACAGGGCAACGTGCACTGAAGAAACAGAAGGGCCAGAGTAATTGCTAGGCCCCTGCTGCCAATGTGTTCATACAACTGCTGCAGGAATGAGATAAATAGGAATGTGACCAAGACTTAGTTTTACTATGGACCATGCTTGTTTCCAAGACCATTGTGCTTACAAAAGAACACATGACAACATGCATGTCTATTCTACCCCTCTGTCTGTCGCTTACTTTGGACTAGAGCAGTTGTTAACAGCGAACGGCTGTCATGCAGGTAAACACAGTCTCTTCCTGCGCAGGTTCTTCTAAAAGTCAAAGCTAATGTCTGACAGACATCAGGGTTCTGGGCTCAAGGGAAGAATTCTCTGGCATACCTGGGCATCACCATCCACCGCAATGAGCTGTTCTTTATTCACGCCAAAGAAACAGGGCACAGGGATTGTCTCATCACTGACTCTCTCTACAAGGTAGCTGTTGTAGCCAAAGAGAGGCAATTTGATCATGTGTTCTGTAAGAAAGCAAAAGGTAGTTTTCAGGCAGCAGCTGCCAGACAGGAACCTACTGCATCAACCTACGACAGTCAAAAGCTGAAAAGGTTCCCAAGCTTTTCTACACTAAAAAGTAAGACTGACAACTTCTCCCTCCTCCCCTAGGTCCCTGATATTCAGGTGTCAGCAACCTGAATGGATGTGCTATTCTTTAAAAGGCAGAAAACAAGCATGCAGCCAGAATATCCATTTAAATGTAACTCATACAGGGCTCCGAACATCTGCTGCAGGCTTTTACCAAGAGGTGGCACCTGTATCATGATCACCACACTTGGGAACAAGAATGCAGGGCGAGGCTGTCAGGGTGTCATGTATTGGGCCGTTCCAGGCTCCAAAGACCCGTGCCAAGCTCATGAATTACCCCAAAAGCAGGTTCAGAGGCAGCTCAGGATGGGCTACTCTAGCAGATCTGGATATCTCCTCACCTATAAACTGGATTTTTGCGTCCTTTGGCTGGAGTGGCTGCCTGGATCTCAGCAGCAGGCCAATCTGGTTCTGCAGAGCCTGGGGGCTGATACAGGACTGCAGGGGCTTTGGCGTGTACTCCTTCAGCTCCTCCCTGTGCCAAGAAGCAGAGCCTGACTCACTCCCTGCCCAGCTAAAACAGAAAGTTCAGCCAGGGGAATTAGAGGCAAGGAGGGGATGTGACAACAATTTTCACTGTCAAGGCTGGGGGCAAGGATGCAGGGAGAGGGAAGAGCACAACAGGTTGTGTCCAAATTGAATAATGTGGAAGAAAACATCACAGACATTGAGATAATCAGATATCCACAGAGAAGAAAGCTGTGCACCCACTGATTAGTACACTGAGAGAAATCTCTCCTTTCCAGAGACAACAGGAGCTCTTCAAGCAAGAACTGTAGCATGGAAGTAGAGCTATAGAGTGTTTGTTTCACAGGCAGTCTCAGCTGAAAAACGCCCCACTGCATCTCTGTCTTGCTCCTGTGTCTCCAAAGCACTACACTGAGCAGGTTCCCCATGCCTAGCAGGACTATTCCATTGCCCCTTAGTGCTGTCGCTTTAAGGGGATTTGATGGATGTCCTACCACTAACACCACTTGAGTCAGAGTGCAGAAGGATACAGGAAGAAATGAATGTGAAAATAGAGCTCAGGGCTTTAGGAGGGCTTCAGGACAGAAGCTGGTGCCTGAGGACCTTTCCCAATACCCAAGGACACCTTCATTCCCATTAGACAGCACACCACAGATTTCAGGTGCCCAGGGTTGAAAACACTGGCCCTCATGAGAAAGAGCAAAAGAGCATTCAGCCCAGATAAAAAGCTACAGCTATAAGCTCAAGCACTTCCTTCTTGGTAACATGAGCAGGTGGGAGTGGCAGCCAGGAGAAATGTCTGTGGCACCCTCATGGCCCTGAGCTCAGGAGGAGTCACAAAAGCAAGTGTGGATAAGAGACGGTCAGCATTCAGTGTGCGAACAGGAGGTAAACTTTCTTGATTACAGGCAGGAGTCAGACACTAGGTGCCTGGAGTTAGTGGATAACATTCACCAGAATGCTCCATTCCCTAATTATCCACAGAATAGTTTCAGGCACCTTCCCCCAGCCCCTGCGATACCAGCAGCCATTAGAGATACAGACCACCCTGAGACAAGCTTACCTGGAGGGAGCAGCGCTGTGCTGCTCTGTTGTTTTGGCCCAGTGCTGGAGCATTGCTAAAATGCTCACCTGCATCTCCACTTCTTTACTATAGCCCAGCAGCATCCTCCCATTCAGGTAATCCCACAGCATCTGAGAGAGAGCACACCAAAGTGGCCTTTGTTAAACCTGCCAGAAGGTAAACGCAGCTCTGGACAGCCCCAGGCTGGAGAGATCTGGATCCTGCCTTGCTGAGAGCTCAACCCAAAAACACTAAAGCAAAGTCTTGTTGGGCTCAGGAAAAGCATGCAGAACTGCACAAACTACGTCTGGAAAAGAGACAGCTGCCTCCTTCACCATCACTCTCCAGTACAGGGCCATATGGGCTAGGGCCATAGAAGTACTGCTTTCCTTGGATCCATAGCATCAAATATTAGCCATTTCCAGAAATACCATACAAAATCAATCAGCTAAAGCCCTCACCCTTTTTCAGCTCCCTAGTTTTCCTGTTTCCCAGGAAAATCCCTGTTGGCCTGTACACCAGCTCTGCTGCAGGGCTCTCGGGAGCCACTCATAGGGAGGTTCCTGGTGCTCATGCTGCCTTTGTTGCTTACCTGTCCATAATGGACATCAGTATAAATGTTGTTCTCGAAGTGCAGAGGCGTTTTCCAGGTGACCCTCCGTAAACTCATGGTAACCAAGTTGTCCTCCAGCAGGTAATCATGAAGATATTCCTCTGATCTTATCGGCCTCACCATTTTCTCTAAATGTTAATGCAAAGAGAGGGTCATCACTCTTAAAACTGAGGCAGTGAATCAAACTCTATGGCCTGGAAGGGGAGCCTTTCTGCACACCCCTATTCCTCCCTGTCCCTACAACACCCGGCATCAGCCATTCCCAAAGGATATGCGTGCGTGCGCGCACACACACACACACACACACACACACACACAAAGGGCTTTCAGGAACAAGTAACGCAGCCCCTGAGAAGGCATTATTCCTAAGCTCAGTACAGGGGGCACCACTGAAAAGGAACCTTGCCAGGGCCAGCAAGGGTGAGGGAATTATCAGAAACAGCAGCCATGGTACTGCCCGCTCAGCAAACTTTTAAGAAGCTAGTCGCTCTCTACTTGCCGAGTTTATCACTGGCTCTCCTGATGGCAAAGAGAGCAAATTCCCGGATCTCTTCCTGCTCGCCTGCTCCCATCTGCTCACAGATCTCCTGCAAGATCTCCCTGGCCACCTGAAGCAAGAAAAGAAGCTGATAAAGCACTATGGCCAGGCAAGCCCAAAGCAGCCCCAGAACAGCGAGACATGCTGGGCCTGTTGGAGAGGAGCAGCATGGCTCCAGCCCTTGTGCAGAATATGGGCTGGGTGTGATGGTCCTGGCATGCTGCAGGCCCTGCAGAGATGTGCTGTCATGGCACTATGGGAAGCACAAGCTAGGCCTGAGGGTTTGACAGATAAAGGAGTTCCCTGGTGTGGCTTAGAGTCTGGATCAATGGAAAAATGCAAAGCAGAAAACTCACGGTGAATGTCTTGATTCTGGTGAGGAATTCCATGCCTCCAGGCGTGAAGATCACAAGTCGGCGGGCCCCACGCCCCTTCTGCAAAGGACAGTCTTTAGGCAGCAAGACACACAAGACCCAACCAGCCACACAGGTCTCTTCATCTTCCCTCCTCATCTTTGCCTTCTACTACCTGGCCCACAGCACTTGCCTCTTCTCTGCCCACATCCATATCCTCCCTATGGCATTGCACCTCCCAGCCCCTTACAGACACATGCCTCGTGTCCTCTGTTGGACCACTAACTGCCCCCACAACCCACCTCTTCCACATGTAGCAACATTGCACATCACACCTGCAGGCAAGCATCTGCCCTCCCTCTCTTCCCAGTGTCCCCACTTCTCTGCCCCTCTATACCAGCAGTGCCTCCATCTCCACAGGGAAAGGCAGGTGGCGGCGGCCCCCATACATGACATTTTTCCGCAGGTTGCTCTGACAGATCTTGGCTATGTCTGTAAGGAAAGGAAGAAGCTCCATGTGCTGAGCCAGACAGAAGGCTGAGCATTGACTCCTGCAGTGTTGGGTCATCCTGGCTATGTTGAATTCAGCTCAGTCCACTGCTGGGAGAGGAAAGAGACCTCACCCTGTCCCTCACTTTGTCAGGACATGTCCAAATCATGAGACACCAGCCCCAGATAGTGTCCAGGGCAGTAGGAGTACATAGGAGCAATGGCATCCTCTTCTCCTCTGTAAGAATTCCAGCCCAAATGCTTCACATCTGATGACTCAGGAAGAGCACAGCCTGCCTTGCCTCTAGGGTTTGGCTGTCAAAGTGGGTCTAAGTCACAGAGTGAAGCTGAGCCCCAGAGAGAGATATAACAACCCCACATTGCTCAGGCAAAGATGAAACAGGAAATGACCTCCGGAAGCAGGGAGATTTCGGCTACAAAGCAGATTATTGCCTGCAGGCCCAGCTCCTGTCATTTCTCCTGTCTGACAAAATCAGGGAGATTTCCCCATTGGTCCATGTCCCCACCTGGATTCTGTCTTCTTTCCTTGACCACTGGGGCTTAGTAACAGAGAGAAGAGCTGTTTATTTTACAGGGCACAGAAATAGCCATACCGTAGTGGGTGCTGGATGGATCGCTGCTGGCTTGCTGCAGAAACTTGGTGGCATAGGGCATCAGGATGTTGGAAGGGAGGAAATAGCCAGTAAGCAGGTTTAGGAGCAGCCAACCACGCAGCAAGCTCTCCCTATGGGACAGAAAGAACTGTGGACACCTTGGACAAGACAATCTCTGCTCCAAGGTGCTCAAAGTGAACCTCTGCCCTTCTCAACACCTATGGAAGGTGGCAGCATAAATAAGGTGGTGGCCCTTGGTCAGAGTATCCTTAAGAGGAAGGGACTGACCAACCTATTCCAGCAAGAAAAGAAAAGGAACAGGCACAGCCACTCTAACGCCACAACATGGGACAGCATGGGATCAAGCTACTCCTGACTGCTGTACTAACTCCCCAAGGCTCTGAAGAGGAAATCAGGGCTATGAGCAGCACTGCTGCTGAGAGCTGCCAGGAATGTTTACCAGTGCCCAGATACCTCAGGAGCCAGAGACACAAGGACAACTATCCTTTGACGTGACAAAGCCAGACCTACTGACAGCTTAACCTTTCTGGGTGTTCAGTAAAAGCCCCAGCAACTGAGCAGCTGGAGACAATACACCTCTTCCCCTGCTCTGCTGTCCATCCAGCACAGCAGATGTTCCCTCTGCAGCCATGCATACCCAGGAGCTGATGATGCTAGTACTCACTGTTTAGGGTTGTGGGTGACCTGTTTGATGACCTGGCAGTACACCTCATCATGCAAAATCTCCTTCTCCTTGCACAGCTGCATTCAGAGAGGGGACACAGCATCAGAGAGGCCCCAAGTCTGCTCTGTGGCTCTCCTCTCCCAGCTCCTGAGCTCTCTCAGTAAATCCCAAACTCCCACCATAGCTTAAAGCTGGGACTTCACAGCCTCTGGTCTCTAGTGCTATCTGGGCCCAAAGAAGATGGCAGGCTGTGCTCTCATCCAGGGAGTGATATCCAGGTAAACCATTTGCACACACACCCCTCTCCATTTTTTAAACAGCCGCTTGTTTCAGCTTCTTTTCTCACCCATGAGGTGGTATTATGGCTCTCCCTGCTCTCTGCCTTCCCTGCAAGGTCTTGGCCCCTCATTCCCATCGGTGCTTCAGCACCTTGCCCAAGAGGAGGTCACAAACCTGAAGGATTTCATAGATGCATTCAACCTCATTCTGGTTCTTGAGTTTTGGCTGGTCTCCCATGAACCGCATTACAGCTGCAAAGCAAGGGCTAGCATTTAGGTCTCAGCAGAGCTGATCCTGCCATGGGGCAGGCAGTAGACTAGTAACATCCTGGAGGCCTTTCTGCTCCACAGACTATTATTAGGCTTGCACTGGACATACGTTCTTGGAGGGGAGTCAGCCCAGACAGTGTGTGATCTTGGGCACTTTGACCTCAAGGCAAAGTGTATTTTGCTGCGTGCTTCCAGCAAGGATTCATGTGGCTATCAACAGCAGAAGTGCCTTAGGAGAGGTTCTACTCTCACAATTTTCATTCCCCTCTCTGAGCCCCAGGGTGTCTGTGTGTGGCCACCAGGGCCATCTTGCTCAGCCCTGCTCCAGCCTCTGCCATGTTGTGTCCTGGGGAGATACTTACTTACAAAGTTCTTGGTAGCCAGCTCATTCAGCTCACTATCAGAGTATGGGAGCAAAGACCCCTGGATTGGGACCTGCAGAGCCAAAGCACAGGGGTAGGCAGGGGAGTCAGATCAGCACAGAGCTGCATTACAGGCTTCATGAAAGACACAAGCTCCCAACATCTTGCATGCAGCACTGGAGAACAGGGAGCACCTCCAGTTCTGCAGAGACCGCAGGCAAGGATCTGCCCTGTGCACTTTTACCACTCTTACCGTAGTGGAGAAAAGCTAGAAGCAATGCTGCAGCTGGGATTCCAGCTGTAGCCAGGGGGAGAGAATGGGCTCACCGTGGTGTGCTGGACCAGGTCAGCTGCACTTTTATTTTCACCAGACATCCTCTTTTCAGCAGACATCCCCTTCCATCCCAGCCTAGCCAGAGGAGAGAGAACGTAAACCAGTCCAAGAGACGCACGCAGAAATGGTTGGCACGGGTCAGGCTACACAGGCCCATAAGCCTGCTCAGGAAGGACCACGGCCTACTCACATGGACTGAGCCTCTCGGAAGTGGGCTGTGGCAAAGTCCATCATGGTGTAATGATCACCAACAGGAGCAAGCATGATGCTGTTGGGTTCTGAGGTCAGGCTGGGTAGAGAGCTCTGCAGGGATAGGCACCAAACCCACTTGAAAGGTCAGCTGATGCAGTACATATTCTCTTCACCCGCAAGACCTGACCAGATCTCATCCGTGTATGGTGACTCCCTCTCCCATTATGATAATATTTGTGTGCTTCCATCTACAAGGATTAAGCAGTCTTCTTTTTCCCCCAGCCTTGGGTGTGAGATACTACCAGGGCCTTGGTCACACCCAGCCATGTCCCCTTTCAGTTCCCCAAAGACACCTCACCTTCCTGCTGGTGTTCCTACCCTCCATGGGAGCTGTCATGCTCTTCCTTAGCCCTCCATGTCTGTCCATGCTGGTGTTGAGGTAATCAGGGGCTGCAGCCAATTGCACCAGGCTGGTGGGGAAAAGACCAGAGCGGCCACCAACAGAGCCAAACTGCCAACCTGCAGAGATGGGGGAGAAACAGTCAAGCACCATGGCAGCTGCAAAGAGAAAGGAACAGTGAGGCATCCTAAAGGCAAAGGAGAGCATCAGTCTCCGACCAGGCTTTCCAGCATTCTAAGGTAACATCCCCTACGACTGTGGCAGCAGGAACAGAATGGGTCACGATCAGAGAACGGCAGAGCCGAAGGTGGACAATGTCAGTCCTTAACAGTCTGCTTTCCTCTGATCTGCTTGATAGCAGCATGTAGGGCTTCTGGGTTCCATGTGTCCAGCAGGCCCTTGAATCCAGTCCCCATCTTTCCTGCCAATCTCGGGAAAATTCCCTCACCTGGCTCCATGTTTCGCATGGGCAGTAACTGGATGAGGTCACCTTTCTTGAAGCTAAGAAGGCTCTTGTCGTCTGTGACATAGCTGCGCAGAGCAACAACATAGTTGGTATCCTGGGGGAAAAGTGATGGGGAGGTCAGATCTCGTCCCCAAGATGTAAGGGACTGGGATCATGCCACCCTGTCAGGGCCACGGGGGAAAACACCTTCAATCCCTGCTGCACCACAGCTGCTCCCTCACCTGCCGCAGCTCCTGGATGAAGAGTTCCACCATGGCCTTGATGTGCTGAGCCTTTGCAGAGTGCAGGAAGAGCTGTTCCGTCTTCAAAGAAAACTCTAGGGCGTTGCTGCCTTTCAGCTCCACCGACAGCACATCTGCAAAGCTGAGAACACAGCCAGCACGTTCAGGCTGCTTCTGCCAGAGCTAGGGTCTGCCTGAACTGTAACCAGCAGTTCATGGAGATGGGGCTCTGAGGAGCCTAGAGAGGCCTCAACATGCTCCAGAGGGTGGTCTTTCACCAATACTCATAACAATAAAGAGAAGTGTTGTAGGCTGATGATGATTTTTGCTGTACCACTCTGAAGACCTCCCTTCTGATGCCACACATGGAGCTGAATCAGGCCTAGCACTCACTTATTTTAAGCAAAGCGCAAGGTGGGAAGGAAAGGAAAACACCAAACTCATTAGAGGGAGAGTCAGTGAGCCACAGCAGGGCTGAGACAATACCGGAAAGCACAGCACAACCAGGGAATTTGTCAGCTCACCCATTCAGTCTGCCTCCTACCGACTGACCACTCTAAAAGCAACCTGCAAGTCACAAACCATCCTCCTGCAGCAACCAGTGCCCTTCTGCTCACCTGTAGCTGCAAAGAATCTTCAGGTGCTCAGGAGTATAGCCGGCTGCCCTCACGACCTTCAGCAGCCGCAGGCCCCGGTGAGAAACACCCAGGATCTGAATGTCACTTCCATTTTCACCCTGTAAGGGAAGTGCAAAAGTAGATAGGACACAGCAGGGGAAGAAGATGCTGCCAAATGTACCAGGAAGGAGGCCTGGCTGGCAGGAGTGCCAAACAGCAACGTTTTTGCAGCAGCCTGGCAAATGGAGAAAGCAGATAAAGGAAGACAGAGGAGCAGGAATCTGAGGGTGCAGAAAGGCAAATGGGAGAACTACGGGGACAAAGACTCAAGTGACAGCTGCCAAGCAGGGAGCTTTGCACTCTTATATCACAGCAGGGAGCAGGGATTGGGGCATGAGAGCAAAGAAAATATGCAAGTGAAGAGAAAGGTACAGAAAGCACAGAAGAGTGAGTGATATGTGGCCAGGTAGGAAGAGATGGCTGGGACAGAAAGGCATCCCAAATGAACCAGAGCCACACAGCCACAGCAAACCCAGGGTCTTTTGAGACAATTAAGACTCACATGAACTGGGAAGAGGCGGGAGAAATAGTTAGCCCAGTTATCCCGAGCAGCCAGTACAATCCTCTTCTTTATCCCATCCTCCTGAATGGACTGGACATCAGCACCAACCTGAAACTCCACTAGCAGAGATACAAAGCAGATGTTTTCTCAGCAAGGCAAAAACAGCCAAGCCACCTTCTGCCCAGGGACTCGCTCACTCTGTTCTTAGTGATTTGGGGGCAACAAACAGAATGCAGAGGCAAAAGGACACTGTGACCAGAAGAATCAACACTACTTGCACACACCAGTCTACTGCTAGTGTCTGTCCCCCTTTCCATGAAGCGCCTGTCAAAAAAGACAGGTGGATTTTGAGATAATTCAAAATTCCATCTGTGCACCTGTTTTCTCCCTCCACAATGAGCACATCAGAACTAAGTTTCCTTGACTCAGAGAAATTCTGGGGCCATGTTCTAGCCATTTGGAATAAATGAATGTTCCTAAACTGCACTGCACTGCACAGCACACACAAATGTGCTTTCTTGCTGCAGTGACAAACATTTCTCCTCTGCGCTAAGTCCTGCCTGAAAGGGCTTGGAGGCCTGTTTCTCCCTTAAAACTAGGAGCTGGGGTGAGCATAGGGAGTGAAAGAGGATGGGACTGTTAATTACTCAGCAGATCTTTCATCTTGCGCTTCTCCTCCCTGGAGATCCGAAGGCAGGAATCAGAGAAGGTGTCACGGACGATCTGCAGAGGAAGGAAACAGAGAGGGTTCCATGGAAAAGGCCACAGCTGAGTGTGTTGGAGCAACTGAGGCTGTAAAACGGACTGGGCTGCACAGAGAAAAGAGTAGGGGCTTGGCTGGATGGACCTGAGGAAGGGACTAATACTACTACAGATGCAGAAGTGAAGGCAGCTTATGTAATGTTATTATGGACTATTTTGTCACCCCCTCAATGCAGAGGTGAGGGGCCCTGCGTCATACACCAGTGCATACCTGTTCACACAGCAAGTTCAGATAATAAGGGTGACTGAAGTTTTCTTTGGGGTAAAACACCTGCAAGAGGAGGATAAAAACAACGTTTATGTTACGGATGTTGCAGAAATGGCTCACCAGGGATGCTTTGTAATCTATATGCCCTACTGCTAGACAGGAGTGAGTCCATCTCTGAAGTCAGTGGGAGAAGAGACATGGTGAATGTGAATGGAAGAACCAGAAGCGAAGGGTCAGAAGTGAAGTGGGGAGACCACGGGGAGAGCCCTGCTCAGTTCAGTGCATTCTCCAACACTTGATTTTAAACACATTTGTAGTATTTTGAAGAGAAAGCAGCAGGTAACAATAGATTCACTTCATCTGTAGCGCTCTCAGTTCTTTACAGAGGAAGGTAAGGACAGGTAAGGAAACTGAGGCACAGGATTCAGAAAGGTAGAGTAGGACCCTAATCCCCTAGCTGCCTGATGATCCCCTATCTCCCACTCCTGTGTCATGCGGCCTCCTCCCAGAACTATCTTTGCACTCTTACATCACAGCAGGTGCATGGGCAAAGACAGATTTTAACTAACTGTGGGATCAACTCCTTCCCCCTACAACAAGGCCCTCAGGTAATGGACTGTACCTCTTTGCGCAGAAAGATTTTCCATGCAGGGTTGACATAGGAGAAGCTGACACTGGCAGTGAGCCTGTACAGCTGGGTCTTGATACTGTCATCTTCAGCCACTGTTACAGTAGAGGCTGGGCAGGAAGAAAGAACAGTAAAGATGGGAGTCTTTACCCCACTCGAGTCACCTTCCCCCCTTCTGCTCTACCAAGAGGAAGGGACAGTGCCATGTGCATCACAGAAGAATTACTGCTAGGAACCCTCTTTGAGGTTAGTAACCAACTGATGTGGATGCGTGCACAAAATAGTCATCATGTAAGTACAAGCATTTCCAATAGCATTTACACTTGCTGTACTAGCCAGAGTTCAGTGCTCAGGATAAAAATGAAGCACTCCAGAGGTATGGAGCACACAGCATCCCAGGCAACATATTGCCCCTGTGCTTAAGCTTGAAGACACGAGTTCACTTTATGTCACTATAAAATGACTGTTGAAGGAAAGTTCTCCCCTGAGTTTGCATACTGTAAGGTTCAGGTACAAGGCAGCTGGTACTTGCACTGGATTTTCTCTCTACAGGAGAGTTATTGGAGATAGGTTCAGTTTGAAGGCAACCATTCAAAGGCATTCCTCGTTTAAGCAGTCACAACTTTTGAAACTCTGGAGTTCACAGACAGTCAAGAAATGTGATAGATCCCACTGTGCAGCTGTTTCTATATCCTTATTAAAAAGAATGTAGGGATTTTTCAGGCTAATCCAGCTACCTAGGTTTGCTTTCACAGTACTTCCTAAACACCTTTTTTTTTTTTTCTCCTTCCTAAAGAGAGTGGGAAAGGAACATGGAAATTCTTTTATACCAGAGAAGCTGCTGCAGGACGTAGGCCTGCAGGAATGTGCACAGGCTCTTTGCATGTTATAAAATGCGATGCTGATGAGTGTTTGAAAGAGCTTAAAAGATAGTGGTACATGTGTCCAAAATAGCAAAGTATAATATGAATTTTGGCCCTAGGCTCCCATTGAAATTCAGAGGCAAAACCTAGGATGGAATAACACTTCCAAAACACTGCTGGGAAGCATTAGCTACTCCATTTTTCAGGTGGACAGCCTCCAGACACACCTTATGTAAGACTCTCCCAGGCTCCCATTCTCCCTCTGAGAAACACTCCCACATTCCTTAGCTCATCTCTAAGAACCCTCCAGAGCCTCTAGAAGGTAAAACACCTCCTTTCTCATTCCTCCCTAGTCTAAAGTCTGTCCCTTGAATTGCAGCTTTGATAAAGCAACTATGCTTCAGGTAGGCAATAAAATGTGTTGTGGGCTGGACTTTGATAAAGCTGTAGCCCAAAGGTCCTTTTTATTTTTAGCTGCATTTTTTTAGAGAAACCCAGCCCCTCCTTCATCATTCCTGTCTGACGTCCTCCATTGCACTGCGAAGAAAGTAAGGAGTTAGAGCTGGGCCAGCAGTTGTGGTGACAGCTTCTCTGATTTCACGCAGTCTCATGCCTCTCCCTGGAGCCCACTCAGTCTTTGGCCAGCTAGCAAACAACAGAGCGCGTGCTGTGACGCTCCTCGCACCCCGGCCACTGGGTTATCTGACTCTCTATCTGCCACCAAACCCACTCTGACAAAGTCAACACTCACCTTTCCCTGTGGATTACTGCTGGCCTTGGTCGCCAGGGGGAAGAGGCATGGGAAAAGGTGGGGGAGTAGGAGGGGCCTCAGAACCTGGAGGAGTACTTGGTGGGTCACCAAAGGTGGACAGGAGAGGCATCTGCTTCTCCCTGATGGAGCTGGAAGCTGAGTCTTTCTTAGGTGGGGGAGGTGGAGGCATCCCTTTGGGTTTCTTCTCTAGTGGCCCAGGGGATGGCTGCAAGACAGCAAAACCATTCAACAGGGTCATTCTCTGCACTACTGCACTCTGCCATGACAGTGCTGTCAAAAATCATCCCCAGGGCAGCAGCCCAGCTCTGTAAACAAGACCTGTGTGAGGAGGGGTATGGGAACCTGTAAGTCAGCATACAATCACAAACAGATGAGGATCGAGCAAATCCAGGTGCAAAGAACCAAGTACTTGAGACTGTATCCTCCAATTGGAAAAGGGGGGGAAAAAAAAAAGATATCAACAGGCAAAGACCTTGGGACCAAATGTGGGGTACATGAATAGTTCTCTTTGAACTGTTTCCTGTCAGATCAGCCCTAAACATACCACAATAGGCCTTGTTGCTTCAGGGCCTTTCTCCAGGATCTGAAGGAACTTTACAGACTAGAACGCATTCAAGGATGGGCAGTACCAGGGGCTCTGAGCCCACAGCTATCTTGTAATCCAAAAAGAAATCACCCAGATCCTATCGCATTACCAGATAGCTCCCAACTCATTGGAGGCTGCATATAAGGGCACTCTCTGCTGAGCTCTTGGCTGATCAGAGAGGAAGGAACTCACTGATTTGGGAGACTGCAGATTCATCATCCCCAACTTGGCCAGAGCCTCATTCTTGGGATCATTCTTCTTCATAAATGGCTTGGACACTCTCCTGCAACACAAAGGAGAGCAGAGTCGCTGAGGCTGCAGCGGTGTCATGGCCACAATGGAGCCATGTGGCAGTGCTGAGATGCGGTCCCTCTCATCTCTCTTCCTGCCCACCTGGGTGGCTCCCACCCTCTCACCTGACAGGCTCAATGGGCTGTGGCTCAGGGGCTGGCCTGCTCTGGTACATTTTGATGATGTTGCGGATCTCCCGGCTGGGTGCAGGCCGTGACTCAGGGCTTGAAGGCTTCACTACAGGTGGCTCCTTCTTCGCTCTTGGTGTCTGCTTTTTAGCCTTTGGCTCAGGAAGTGGCAAGATAGGAGCAGGAGCTATTGGAAATGAGAGCTTTAATCAACAGACGAGCAAAAGCACAGGACAAAGCCCTTAATCCTATCTGAAGCTCCCTCCCTTTCGCTCCTGGGCTGACTAGCCTTGGGCTTCCTGTGCCTTGCTTTGGGATCCCACTTCACCAAGCTCAGGCCTTTCGCTCGCTCCTCTGTTGTCAAGATGCAGACTTGCAGAACAGCTGGATCCTTTCCTTCTCTGGCTATATCCTGTGCTGATGCTCAGTCCTGGAAAGTTCCTGCTTGTCAGCCTGCCTGGGTCTCCACCGCACGTCATCTTACCTGCTTCGGTTTTAGGGCTGGGCTTTTCTTCTTCCTTCCTTTTCTCCATCTTCTCTTCCTCCTCCTCTTCCTCCTTTGGCTGGAGATTTGCTGGAGGAGTCCAGGTTTTAGAAGGAGGCCTGACTTTCTTCACTCGGATCTGTTGCTGTCCTGCACAGAGAGGGGGAGCCCAGCTCCTTAAACCCATAGCAAACACATAGCCCTCACAGCATGCGGCTGCCTGTTTCCCACCCTTGAATCAGTCAGCAGAAGCCTGTGCTTTCCAAGGGCAAAGGAGAGTCACAAGCCCAAAATTTCTAGAAAATTGGCAACTCAATGATTCACAATCTTAATTGCAGCCAGTTGAACAGGCACACAAAGTTCCTGATACATGCAGTGCCAGAAGCTCATGCAGGGATCAGCTGGGTTCCAGACAGGGAACCCTGCTGTTATGCTGCGGAGGCTGCAGAACAAGGTGCTATGATGAGTGCAATTCTCAAAGTGGTAGAGGCTCACCCATCTTCTGGAAATATTCTCTCTTCTGCTGGAAAGTCTCCCGAGGGTAGTCGTCATCTTCGCTGCTGGGGAACTGGTCTTCTTTGTAGTCATAAATCTGCAAGTAGTTCACAGCATGGTCAGTTAGTACTAGCCAGCAGAGACACCTCCAGAGTGCCCTTAAACTCAGAGATGACCTTCCCTTGCTAGGGTTGGACCCTGATACAAAACTTGTATCCCAAGAGTGTCCCAAGAGATCAGGCCCTGACCCAAGGAAACATCAACTAAGTCCACAGGCGGAGGAGGATGTTACAGCCCCAAGATAGCTTGCTAGAAGATAAAGAATTCAAAGTGATGAATTTTCCTATGTACCTCATTGGAATTCAGCTCAGCTGGGAATGATTTGGCCAGTACTGCAGCCATCCTTCCACAGACCTAAGTGCCACCAAGGTTTGACCCTGTATCTTAAAGCCTCAGCAAGCAGAGTTTGAAAGGCTTCAGTATCATAGGTGAGCATAGTTCTCTACTCTCCTCTCCGCCAAACCACTGCCAGAGTGGAAGGGGAGCAGAGCAAACACAAAGTATGACATGCAAACCCAATTCCCCACCACCGTCTGTTCCTTGTACCTGTTCTTCCACCTGAGCTGGAGGTTCTGGAGCCTTTGGTGGCTGTGCAACGTTCTGGCTGCTGGGAGACTTCTTGGGTTTGGGGGAAGTGGCTGGGGCTGGGGCTCGTGGAGGAGTCGAGACTCTTGGCCTTGAGTTCTCAGGAGATTGCTGCCGCTGCTGCTGTAGCTGCTGTTGCTGCTGAGACATGGTCATGGCTTGAAGGGTCATCTGCTGGGCCTGGAGGAAAGAATTGCAGTGTGCATGAGCCCTAGGCCTCACAAACACCAACCATCAGTCAGGCTGCCCCATTCTTTCACTGGCAATCACAACTTCCCAGTCCTCTGCCTCTATGGACGAGGCAGGCCTTCAGAGCTCCTGACAACACCCCAAAGACTCAACTATCAGTGATATAGGCTGGGGCCTCCCTTCCCTCACAGGGTTTCGTGCAGAAAGCAGGATACTGCAGATTTGCATCCCCAGCAAATCCAGCTTAAATACATTTAGGAATTACAGCTGAGGCCCCTTGGGACCTGCTCTTATCCCTGCTACTCACCCTATGGGACTTCAACCTCCCTATCTACACAAAGGGACAAAGAGGGGATTCCCAGCTTTGCAGTCTTAAATAACACCAACTTGATGCACCTAACTCCCAGCACATAAACACAGAGCGCTACAGAGCAGGCCCAAAGCAGAAGGTAAGCATGGCTAACCTTTTCACAGCTCACATACACTAATGTGTTTTTCTTCCCCACTTCCTGGGCCTCTCCCATCCAGTCCCTTCAACTCACCATGAGCATGGCTTGCTGGTTGATAAAGGCTTGCTGTTGTGCTGCTAACTGATTGGGATCTACAGCTGGAACCACAGACTGTGCCTGGGGCATAACCATGGCTGCAAAAGAAACACACACACACACATATCTACAAACACCCACAGGCAATCGTTCCCCACTGTGCCTGAGCATCAGTCCAGAGCAGCATCCGTCTCACAGAGCTGAGCTAGGCAACAGCTGTACACCCAGCTCACCTGTTTCTGAAACAGATGATCCTCGTTTCAGCCCCAGCACAGATCACTCTACACTAACATGTGGCTATCTGCACTGCAGTGGCTGCTGAACATCCTGAACGTAGAGTCTATGATTTACAATGAAAGGTTTAAAGGGCTATGATGACAGAATACTGCTAATACCCAAATGCACAGGTTCCATTAGGATGCTTCCGTTCTCCTCCCCTGTATTTATTACTGAATTACTGAAACACTGTGTTATTACCTGGCATAGGTGCCATCCCACCAACCCCTGGCATCATGGGCATGGATGCTGGCATCATCCCCGCCATTGCAGGCACAGGCTGGTAAGCTGGTACTTGCATCACTGCAGGGAAGCCTAGAGGCAAAGAGGCATATGCACAGTGTTTTAGGGGAATCCCAGATCAGCAAGCCCTGATCAGTCCTGCAGAACACAACACACAGGCTGGGTACCTCTGTTTCTCTCCACATGCACCAAGCACAGATATATGTGAAGGGCTTATCTCTTCGTACACAGCAGGATATACAACAAAACTCAGATGGAAAAGGAAACCAAAGAGAAACATAGCAGGAATTAGACACTGTTTCTGCAGCCTTAGGACACCACATCATTCTTGACTACACATATAGACACCTCCTGCCTGTGTATGATTACAGAGAAGGGTTTATTTTAAATGATGGGCAAAGACCTCCGGAAGTGCCACATCCATGTGGGTTTCTTTGCAGCAGGTAGCATAGGTGAATGAAGAAGGAGCCCTAGCCTGGACTGAATTGAGCAGCATGTGAAGGTACCGTGGGGAGAAATTTCTCTGCTCCCAGCAGTCAGGACCTACATAAGGCCACAGAACAGAAATCCCACAGAGCAAAGCCAGCATAGCAAGAGGCACAGAGATCAGTGTCAGCTAGGAGTGAGTCAACACGCAGCATAGGTCTTCTGAATGTTGATGTTCTGTCATCTGTTCTACCCCAGCAAGAACGGCACAATTTCACATTTGGCACAAATGGCACAAAATTCTCACAACAGCACAGTAAGAATGACATAAGTAGCCACATGAGTGACAAACTGGTCTTATGACAGTGATTTGTAATAGTGCCTACGGTTGTGCCCCAGAGTTTCTACAATAGCCACAAATAACTCCAGTCTAACTGCAGATATGAATAGGACACTCCCCACCTTACTGAAACAGCTGGGAGTGTTCCTACACATGCAGATTTCTCAGTGCCATTAATATAGTGGTGTTTGACTCCACCCTGCTGAAAATAACCAGGTCTTGCCCTCCACACAAACAAGGAAAAGTAAAGAAACTAAACATACAAAGCAGAACCTCTACAAGGTTCAGACTTACTAACCCATGGAATAGCTAGAGATAATGGGAAAGTCTGTAAAGAGGCAATAAGATTAAAACCCTCTCATGAGAAAGGCAGCAATTGTTTTGGGAAAGCACAAGGTGCATTAGAGGTGAATGAAGGACTTGCAAGTATCGGCCTAGGGAAGAGGTGGCCTGGGTCAGAGGCAAGTTATTTGCTGCCTTATGCCCTAGACCAACCCAGGAGAGAAATTAAAAACAAGATAAAGGCAGTACTCATTCTAGGCACCTTCTCCAAAGCATCTGTGTCTCCCAGCACCTGGGAGGGAGGAGCGCAAATTCTGATGACCTAGGCTAGAAGTCCAATGCTCTTCATCAATCAGCTGAGACCATGCAATAATTAGCATTTGAGGCGCTCAAGCACAAGTAGCCCCACAGGTGTTCCTAGCTGTTCCTATCCCCTTACAGACCTGTAGAAGGAAAGATTCCTCTCTGTGTGGGTCCAATCTTCCCACCTCCCTTCATGCGGCCAGTCAGGCTCTCCCTGCTCTCCATATCCTGCATCAATAAGAAACAGAGTTGTCTGAGCTCAGATAAATGGACTTCACAGTGGGGGAGCCATCCAAACGCTTATCTGAGCTGAAGAAAGGCAGAGTGAGCAGGCAGACTGAGGCATGCTTGAGGAGGGAGTCACAGGGAGAGGAGAGCTGCAAAGAGACAGGAGGGAAAAGGGAACAGCAAGGGACTTACCGGTACCCTGGAACCTTGATGCAGCACAGGGCTGAAGAGATCATCCACATAGTGATCCAAGCCCACAGGAGTCCCCAGGTCATCTCTGAATCTTGCATCTAAGAGCAGAGAGAAGTGTGGTGACAAGATAGGTAAGGAACATCCCCCTGTTTCCAGTGCCTATTAAACAGCCGTGTTTTGGAGTAGAACCCCCCTCACTTTTACTTTTCATCAAGAAGAGTCAACCATTCTTTTCCTTCTACCCTAGTTCCCTGGCTTGAGCTCATCTGACCCTTCCCAGTGCTATCCACAGTCCTGGACAGGAGCTCACCTGTGTAGAGGTGGTTGAAGTCTGGGGGTAGACTGGGTGGTGGGAAGGCTGGGGCCTGGATGCCTGGAGCAGGGGGGATCCTGTTGAAGGCAAAAATGAGATGAGGACAGCACAGAGTGATGTGAGAAGAGATGGGCCCCCTGGGTAGCAGGGCCAGGAGCGATGGAGCAAGGAGGATGAGGTGACTCACGGATCCGGGATAGAGTTCTGAAGGAAGCTTCTGCCCTGTTCAGGGGTGATGGGGTATGTGACTGAGGATTGAGAGGGGCTGCTGGGGCTCCTGGCCTCCTCCATCTCTCCAATGAGGTCCAGCACAAAGTCACAACCCAGCAGATCCTGCCACGTGGTGCCAGTGAACATGGAGACAGACCACCCTCGAGGGCTCTTATCACAGCCCCTGGCAACCAGGGAAAGGAAGGAGAGAGAAGATGGCAGGGTAGGCATGGGGGAAGAGAGAGAAAGGGAAAAACTGCATTCAATTTCCTCTTGCCTTATCTATCCTGGCCTAGGTCTTTAAGCTTCTGGGTGTGAACCAGCAATTAATGCACAAGGTTAGGAAGAAACTAGAATTGCTTAAGATTTGTCCAATTTTTGCATCTTTTCTCTGAAGCAGCTCTGATAGATCGTATTCATGAGTTCCCTGCTCCTAGAGAAACCTGCAGTCTGTGCACACATATGGAAGGGAGACGGAAAGAGCATATGCTGGGAGAGTGGAAGGAGTGGCTATTCCATATCTGGCTGTACTATCTGTAGCCTGCAGCCCTGACCAATCTGAACCTTTAAGGTGGTCTTTTTCATAGCCCCAGATCTTCTCCCATCCTCTGGCAGTACCTTGCATTCAGGAGCCAGCCTGCATACCGCTCCCCGGTCATCCAGGACTCCACTTCAGCTGAGAACTTCTCCTCTAGCCCAGAAAAGAAAGAGTCAGTGCCCACAGCCCCTGGCAACACCTAAGCAACTCCTAGGCTCTGGAGAGCACAGGCAGAGCCCAGCTGAAAAGCCTCACACACTCTTGAGGGGGTGCATAAGGACTGAAAGCAAATGCAGGGCTCTGCATGAGCACATTCCCATCTATAATGACTGTTTCATGGTGCATCTCAAAGCATTTCCAATCCAACAGCTGAAAGTCTTCACAGTATTCTGGCTTGTCTGGGCCATCACTCCCCTCACTAACAAGCCGGAGGAGGGATGCCCTGTACTCAATTTGCAGAGTTTCTGAGCATTCAGGAGGCAGCATGAGACAATGTTTGGAAGGGGAGAAAGGCTCAGAAAGTCTGTAACAAAGGCAGTGGCTGCTGCTACAGGGGCTATGCAGTAATGGCTAACAGGAAAACTAGACCCAGAGAGATGCACCATCAGGACAGCAACCTCTGCTGAGATGGGCCCTGACTCGGAAGAATCCCATCACTCAGGATGCCTGAGTAGCAGGTCTGAGCTGAGCAAGCTCAGGTTTCAGGGAGTTGGGGTCTGAATTCAGATGTTCCTATCCTCAGTGGCTGCACCAGCCAGAAGCATTCGGTCTTCTGATCACTCTTCACCAAGCTGATGGAAGTATTTTCTGAATGCTGATTTTTGTGCTGGAGGAGTTGTTGGGGACCAGGAGATGGTGGAAGGGCAGAAGTATGAGTTACCATTAAAGGTATGGACATCCAGCACCATCTTTCCTCTCCTCTGGTTCGCAGTCCACTCCAGCTGAGTGGGAGGGTAGGCCCGGGAGGCTGCTGGGTCAACCTCTGTGTGCTGTGCTGCTGTCAAGATCTTGCGCTGGCAAACAGCATTGTAGCCTTCCATGCCATGGTCTGACACAAATCTGGGAAAAGGCAGCTGCCTTTAGCACATTGCTCATCTCTCTCAACCCTAATCAAAGCATAACCAGCCCTTTCCTCCTCCTTACTTCAGTAATGGCTTCTCCAGCACTGGTGAAGGAGCAAAGGAGCTCAGCAAGGTTGTCATCAGGACCCAGGCTCGCCGGCTCTGCTCCACGTCTGGGTTCTTCCATGTCTGGCTGACCACCTGACTGAGGATTTCGTCACGCAGAGCCGGGTTATTCAAACCTCTCCCAGCAATGTAGTTGCCCAGAAGCACCTCCTGCCAGCCATGGAGGTTCTTGTCACCAATGAACCGCAAAATCTAGAAGGATCCAGGGTAAAAAAAGAGAGCTTTAGCTGCAAAGCTCTGGCCTAAACCATGCCGCAAGGTGACCTCAAAACTCTGGGTTGTAGACACCAGGGTGTTTGTGACCCTAGGAAAAGTAATCAACATTCAGATCTTGATCTGTGCTCAGTATTCAGGGACCACCTAATTTCTGGGGAATTTGGGAGGCAGTGTTCATAGGGATAGGACTCTGACTAAGTGTCAGGACTTCTTCAGTCTATTCTTATTCTGCCTCTGACTCATAATTTGCTCTTGGGCAAAACAATTCCCCTTCTTTGGGGATCAGAGCTCAGACACATGAGCCAGTTACCATGGGCTATTTCTTCCTGTATCTGAACCCAAAGGCTGCCTAGCTGTAAAATTATGAAAAATAAATTGATTCAAAGCTGATCTCTGTGAAACGCTCAGAGAACTAGACATGAAGAAAGGCAGTCTAACAGCTGAATGTTAAAAGACTTTGGTGTATTTAATATTATACCAAGTAGCATGAGATATGTTATGCTCAACCAACTCACTTAAGCAGTGATTCAGCTTCTTTGCTTATGTATATCAGCATCATAGGTATACTTGTAATTTATATTTCTCACCCTTAGGTACAGAATGATTTATTTTCAGCCTCTACAATTCAATATGTCATTAGATTAAAATTCTTCTAAAATGTGCTTTGGAAAGGACATTTATGCGTAATGGTCTATTTTTTCTGGAAGAACAACACTTCTTAAAATCTCTGGCTGAAGGCAGTAGGGGTGTCAGAGACTCACTGAGAAAAATCAGAGATGGTAGCTGTTTAATTATTTATGGAATTCTTTGTAGTAAGTCCCTGTGTACTGCAGCCTTTGCTGAAAAAATAGCTGTATATATGTATATATGATTAGCAATGGAGAAAAATGATATTTAATCTTCAGGAAAAATAATAGTAATCTGCTTAAACACAATCCTATTCACAAGGTTTCAGTGAAACTTGTGTTCCCCTACAATCGAGATCATTGGGACAAAGCAAAAAATGTGGTTTAGGTATTACATTTCCTAGACAGCTTATTTTAATTACATGCCCAAAAGGATTAACAGATCTACTTACAAATTCTCTGAAGACTCATTCTATTTTCAGAGAGTAAGCATCATCATTTTTAAGAAGAAATGTACTTTTCACATCCACAGAGAAGAGGGCTGGACCCTCCTTATACAGGAGACTCAGCTTGTGCCTTCGCAGGACAATTGCTATCGATACCTTCATGATACAGTAGCGCAAAGCCATGCTGACCCAGGATATAATGGTGTCTCTCATTACATCAACACTACAGAAATAGGGTGTGGTTCCAGGTGTAGTTTTCTTGATGACAAAGTCCCTGCCTGTGGCCACTTGTTCCAGCCTCTATACCACAGGTCACTGTCCCCTGTTGTGTACTGACGCAACGGTACATCTGTGATACAGCTAGTATCTTATAGCTATAAACCAGATCATGGAAAAGACCTGGGTTAAATAAACCTTTTTCTGACCGAGGTACAGGAATAAGTGCTTGAGGGAGGGAAGAGACAGATCTCCTTTATACCATGTTATATATTAATACTGTGAAACAAAAGCTAAGCAGTCTAATTCCTATACACTCTGCCAAGTTCTCAGACTATACCAGTAAGCAATTCACTTGGATTCCAGTCCTGCTCTCACTTGAATCAGTAGCAAAACTCCTACTGAGACTGCCTTTTACCTTTTAAGTCTTACTTAGGTACTCACTGAAGATAACACTTACCCTTCTAGGGCTGGTCTATGCCCCGCCAAAAACACAGAAACCCTACGGGGCTGCATGAGATCTCTGCTAGACAATTCCAACACCTAGAAGGAGCTGGAGTTTGTTCTGCTCTCCTAGCACACCACATATTGTAAGAACAGTAATAACTACTATGCGTTTCAGCTTCGTATTGTATGAAGGCATCAAAGCGTTCTCCTATGTCCACCTGTTCTTCCACAAGGCCCTGGTCAAGGAAAAAGTCTCTCACCAGTTTGTTGATCTCAAGCACAGTCTCCTCGTATTCAGTTTCCAGACGGGTTAAGGGGTGCTGCAGGGGCTGACCAGGGGCAGGGAAATCGGTCTTCTACAAGGAAACAAAAGGGCATTAGTACTTGGTGTTACCAGAACTAGCATGTCCTCCCTCTAGGGAAGCAATGGGGAAATACGAAAAAAGGTTCCCACCTGGAAGTGTGACTTGATGAAGGAGGAGAAGGGATAGCTGTTGATGGCAGGTGGAAGGGAAAGGTCATCTTTGACCTTGACCTCTGGAGGCAATGCCTCAGTTATCTGGTTGGTTTGTGCTTGATACTGACCTTCAAGAGAAAGAAGTCCGGCGCTGTGGCAGTCAGAAATGCAGCCAGAGCATATCTGACTTGCAGTGCAACATGTGGCTATTCCATGTATCTACCTTTGCCTGAGCATCTGTACTAGCCCCCTTGGTACCAGAGATACCCACTGCATCCCTGCTGCCCCCAACCTCCCACCAGGTATGTCCTCATGACCTTGAGACTACAAGGCCTAACTTCAGTGGGGAGCTTCTACAGCTGTGATCTTTCACACTCTTATGCCTGGGTAACACCCAGAGGACAGTCAATATCTGGCATTTCAATTTTGTTATGCAGAGCTTACAGGACAGGAAACACTGAGGCTACTCAGAGATACTGCTGGCAACAGCAGTACTGCCCAGTTAACAAATAAATTACAATGAGGCATCGGATAAAGAATTTATCATGAATAATAGAGGAGGAAACATCTTTCTGAATGAAGAGATTTCTCAGTGCAGCACAGCTTCTGCTGCACTCCTCTATATCCAAACCAATATACCCCATGATGCCCTCCCTCCCCCTCTCTGTTTACATCCCATCAGCATGAATTTCCAGCAGCTTCAATCCAGTTCGTCCCCCGAGCTCCTAGACCAGCTGACAGTTCTTCAAGGGGTATGCCATGAAGTATGGAGTATTAGGGAATCCAGCACAGTCTGCTCCAGCTCACAAAGTTCTTCCGACTGATTATTGCCTACTATTGTATTATATAGAAGGCCAAAGACATGGCCGTCATTTTATCAGGTGCTGTACCAACCTATCAAGGAGGCAAATCCTGCCTCAACACATTTGCAACTGAATTATATACATTGTACAAAAAGTTACAGAGGAAATGAAACTGTGAATAACTTCTTGCTCAAGATAGGTCAAGAGCTGAGCAAATAATTTTGATTTATTTTTTCAAATCACCAAAATACCATCAAAGAAAACAAAAACATACACATACACAGCATCCATTTGCCTTTATCATAATTACATTGCAATGGTAATAAAAGAAATACGGCCCAGATGAGAGACAGCAGGTAGAACAGGCACACGCTTAATCTCCTGCTAGAAAACAAGATAATAAAATAAAACAGTGCAGGAGAGGGAAGGAAGGAAGGAGGGTTACTAACCTTCAGCTAAGTGCAAGAGGGCCGCAAGATCTGCAGGGATCTCCAGCAGTCCTACATCCTGTGGAGAGAGTGAGCAAGTCAGCCACTGGGGTACTAGAAGCAGAAATTTCCTGCCATTGAAACACTGGCTAAACCTGGAGGCTGCTTTACTGAGACCGGGTAAAGCCACCTTTGAAAAGCTGGCCGTAACAAGGCCAGCTTGCTGAGTATCTGAACAACAATAATGATTTCTGCATGTTGCATGTTCAGAAAGGTTACAAATAAGGAAGTATCACATTAAAGCAAGTATCTGAGCTGGGTCAGCAAAACAAGGAAAGGTGAATAATTTCTGCCAAGAGCAATTACCACAGGGGGAAGAGACAGGCACACTGATTTTCTTTGACTCATTTCTCATTACTCACAGGCTTTTCATTTTGCAAGGAAGAGACTGTGGTTTAAGAATAAGTGCCATTTCCTCCTGTTCCTTTATCTGCTATTCTTAATTTTTCAGAGTGCTAAAGAGTGCTACAGCATAAATAGAGAGAGATCTGATTCCATTTTTTGATGGACCACTATTTTGGAGTTTCCTAAGGAAGCTCAGATTTTCACCAGGGTAATTCAGATGAGAATCTGCAGAGAACCGTGATTTTTCACTGTTTTGCACCTTGCACGATGCATATATTTGTGCAACGTAGGAAGTAAATGGGCCATAACATATCAAAACCAGTGTCTGCATATAATGTAAGACCAAAGATAATTGTGCCCTGGAGCCTTGACCTGAGACTGCTGCTTCATATTGGTCCCAGTTCAGGGTAGGTCTCTTGCTGGCCAGGGAGCCTTACTTATTTCTGACAAGACTACTCAGATGAAGAAGCTACCTAACAGAGTAAAAGGATCAGAACCTTTGCTTTTTTGTTTCTTTGTTTTTTTAAGATCTGCATAATAAAGCCGTTACTCATCAACACACCATTCTGACATTTCTCTCTAAATAACCTCTCAGCAATTATTAATAGATTCACAGCTTTTCTGATCAGTTTGATTTTGCTCATCATAAAGTCTTTGATTTTAAAATGAGCTTCTTAATGGGGCAGCATTCAGGACGTGGACTGTGAAATTCCACACTGCTGGATCCAAACCTGAGAAATTAGGTGATATTTTAAGAGCACCCATAGGGGTACTACTATTGCCTTTACTGGCAAATCCACACAAAATTGTGAGTGATGAAGTGTTGACCCAGCTTTCCTTGTTACACACATCATAGCAAACGCATGCTGTCTAAACGCACAAGTAATGACATTAGTTAGCAGTGTTACGTTAATAATTGATATAGGCTACTCTTGTATACGACTAATGGCTTATGCATTTATATTACTATAAAGCATTCAACATCTACAACATCTTCTGTAAATACATTTGCCCAGATCTGCCTCATTCCTACCCTTCGCAGCTGAGCATGTTCCTCTTCCTCCCAGATGCAATGAACAGATTCTAGTGCAACAAACGAACACTGTATTCTTCCTCAGGACCACTTTAGGATGCCTGGCTATGCCCAGTGATTGGGAAACACTGACCTACTAAGAGAGCTATACAGGTAGAAGGCTCTTTATACCAGACTAAACTGCATCCTTACTGCTGGGTTTTCAGCATACATGTGGGCTCTCTCCAAGGGCAACCCTAAGATGCTACTGTCTCAACCCAACACCCAAACAACAACAAGAAAGATGGAAGTAAAAGAGGAGGCCTGGAGTGAAACTCCTAGGCTTCCAGTAGCTATTAATAAATAAAAAAGGAAATCCCAAACCAAGTTTGAGGAAAAGTTTTAAAATTCCTAGCGGAAAATGCAGCACCAGAACACAGGCATGCTTTGTTATTTGCATAATTTCAGCAGCATCAGGTTTACATTATCCCCAATCTTTGTGTTCCTGCAAAGTGTTGAGCTCTCCCAGCTTCCACAACAGGGTGGGAATGAAACAGGCCCTACTACAAATAGGGACGTTCAGAGAGCAGAACTAAATAACTTATTAGCCCAGTCGGTCCCCTCCTCGGGGATCCACAGCACGAACAAAATGGCAAGAGCCTCATTTTGGCAGGTCAGGCAGAAAGGTTCCTAGAAGATGCTGAGTCATTTGGATGTTCCCATTCTGCACACTTTTATCCAGAATCTACGATGCTTAAGAATGTTTCCAGAGCTCAGCACTGCTGTTCTTTCATTTCACAGGCACCCCAGGGAATTCCCATCCATCAGTGCCTTGAGCTGAGGAGGCACAGGGGGCAGAGGAACACCCCGAGAGACTGGCTTGTTTCGTCTCAAACTGCCCAGGACTACTTGTCTACTTACCATTCCTGGGCTGGGACCTTTCTCCTTGTCGCCACTGGCCAGGGACCTCCTCCTTCGTTTCCCTTCCTCAAACTCCTGCTGTTAGGAGATAGGAGAGGGGGGAGAAAGATGTATATAAGACCAGCTACTTCTGGGAGCAGACACTGTGGACAAGCAGGAGCTGGTGTCTTGCTCCAGCAGATAAAATGACAAAACAGCCGCAGTGCCTTCTTAGGACTCACCACACAGAACAGGAAGGTGATGCTCAGGCAAAGCCCTTAGTTTTGCTCAAGCACCATCTGCCCTGCACACCACAATCCAAGAGCAGCAGCCTTTGCCACCTGCCCAGCATCTCCACCACACCTTTCCTCCCTTGCCTGGCATTCAACGCATCAGGACAAAAGCAATAGCACACACAAGCTGTCGGAAACATTCACCTGCCTCCTCCAGCACCAGAGAATGTGATAATGCAGCCTGAACAGGATCTAGGAGGTTGTCCATGAAGAGGGACCTCTTTAGAGGGGGTGGGAGGGACAAAAGGAGTCAAACTGTCTTGCAGCACTACCCTTTCCCATCCATTCTACTGTCCCATAGCCTCACCACTCACCTGCTGCCTGCTCCAAGGTAGAAAAGGAGGGTCTCGGTCTCTCCTTCTCTTTCTCCTGCTCGTCTGTGTTGCAGAATGGTATGACTAGATGGGATGTTATGAGGGTTGGGCTGAGAAAGACAGTAGGCATGCTAAAGTCCAAAGGGCAGGGCTGTGGGGAGGGAGGAAAGGGGGAAGAGGACTCTGTCTCTCCAGCAGGTGAACTTTGAGAGCTTTACTGTTGCTACTGTATGTACTGTGGCTTCAGCAAGCAAACACTGGAGAAACAGAAACAGGTTCAAAAGAGCAGTGCTGCCGTGGTTACCTGGGACAGAGACAAGCTGGATCCTATCCAAGCAGGAAGGGGCAGGAGAAGGAACAGGAAGACATGCTGCTCTGGGCACTGCATGGCAGAAGGCACCTCCGCAAAGTCGTCCAACATCATTGACCTGAACTCTCTTCCCCGTACTTTGCTAGTCCTGCCAGCAGCTGCATTGCTTTCCTCCTTCCCTACCTTGCGAAGCTGCCAGCTACAGGTACACTAGCTTCTACCATGAGTGGTCTAATTTCCTATTTTCCATTTTATTTTTAGCAGCTTGTGCAACACTTTTGACAGAATCGTGGCGCTCTCCTGCAGACAGTTTTCCATCTTCCCAAACCACTGCCATCCTATTCTCACTCCAACTGTGGACCTTGTTGATTTCCAAAAGGACTCCAGCAGCCTGAAGCAGCTGTAGGAGGTCAGTGAAGGATCACAGTGGGCAGAAGAAATCTTGCATTTCAGTTACTATTGGAGATATTGCCCAGAAATTAAACTGGGCAACTGCAAGAGCAGGATGAACGACTCACTACAGCTTGAGCAGAACCACAGATCTGGAGCCCAGAGCTGGAACAGACTCGTGTCTTGCGTGGGGCAACCTCGAGAAGCTCACACACATGGAAGTACTGCCTTTGCCAATTCCGTACCTTGTTTCCAGAGAGAAGGCTCCAGCCTTAGTGATTGTTTCTTTTGACTACATTTATCTCAGTCAGAGAGTGAAAGGCAGTTTCACCACATTCATTGACTCATTTCCAATAAACTGTCTTGAAGGCCAGCCCTGCCTCACCCACTCAGCAGCTCTCTACCTAGGGCAGAAATAGCTCTTGCAGAACAAGTCCTGTGAACAGGGCTGTTACCTGGCAATACTTCCTCCTTTGGACAAAGGGCCTGGAGATTAAAACCGTGGTCTTAAATTGTATCAAAGTTTTCTTCAGCCTCCTGTATTGCTTCCTAAACGGTTGTGCAAAGAGAAGAATTGCAAATGAGAAGGAAATGTCGACAAGTTTGGGCAAACTGTGGAATCAGTTCAAGGGCGTGGGCCAAACATAAGGTTAACATAAACAGCCAATCTGGATGTGGTATTCCCTTGTTAAGCCTGGTCTTAATTAGGAACTGCCTCCACAGCCTCACTGGGCTCCAGTGAGCTCCAGCCATTCCAGTAAGGGTTCATCCAACCGGATTCCCCACCCAGGGGCCTGGCCAGGCACGTCCTCACCTTGTCATCCTAAGCAAGGACAAGGGCTGGACCTTGCCTGACCTTTGACTCCTGACCTTGCCTGGTAGCCACGGAAGTGAGCCTGAATGATCGTGACTTTTTCCTGGAGGATGCGGAGGCGCCTGCGGCGGAGGAGGCGTCGGAAGTTCCGCTGGAGGGTAATGACGGCCCAGCTCTGTCTCTGGTTCCACCATCTCTCCAGTAGCTGCCTGGCCTTCTCCTTCAGGAATACCTGGGCAAAGGGAGCAGCTGCTGATCCACAAGGAAGCTGCCAGCTTCTCTAAGGAGTGATCAGTAACAACAAGCTGCTGGCTTGCCTCCTTGGAGCCTTTATGGCCTATAAGATCCTCTGCTAAAGGAAGTGCATGGCCTTCCATTAGGGAGGGCAGGAGGCTTAGGCACAGGAGACAGGGTGGAAGTATTTGTGGAGGACAGCTCAGGAGCAGGCTGTCAGGAAGCGATATCAGTTAACAGACAGGGAAGTAGGAAACCTAGGCCTCCATCAAGGAACACTAGCTGGATAAAGGAGTTGGCCATGCTACTACAACAGCCTGGAGCCAGCGTTTCCTGTTTTTCCATCCAAGACACTAAAAAAAATCTCTCCTTCATACCAAAGACAAGAAGCAAAGCAAAAGGGAGGAAGAGGCATGCAATGCTTCCCCTCTCTAGGCAGAAGGGCTGAGGTGCTCACTCTCCATTGATACCCAACGAATATATGGCTGGAACTGTGGGATTGAGACACTCTGTAGGCAGCACCTTTGTTACTCCAATCTGATAGAGTTCTGAGGGGTTTCCCACCACGTGAGACAACACTGCTGCACAGCCTTCCCTCTCCTCCAAGCAGTCACGTCCTCTCGCAGCCAGGAATCCATACCTGGAAAACGGTACGTTGATATAGGGGAAGCCAGGGCTCTACCTATAGTCACCAAAGAACAAATCTTGATGTGCTGATAAGTCCACCCGGGCCCTTGAGTGGAATCACAAGCCAATAAACCACTCTACCTGGCTAGGAAGTTCTGGAATGGAAAACGGACTGGGTATCCCTCTTTTCTAATGTGGATGGCCTCCAGTATCCCAGAATGCCTCAGCTGACAAGTGACATACTCCACATCAAAGATATTTGACAGCTGTGGACATAAGGCAGAAGAGAAAATGGAAAAAGGGAGGAGAAAGAAAAAAGAAAGGAAACAGGGCTGGGTGCTTAGAAAGGGGCTCCTTCTATTATCCTATCCTCAGGTAGATCCTGCCATTGTCTGCAGGGACAGGACACGCTACCCCTCATATCCTCTGGGTGCCCAGCTGACACTGGCTTCTTATCTTCTAGCATGTGGTCAGCTCACACAGCCACAGAGGTGGGCATGGGACAGAGAAAGGGGAAGAAAAGTCTCAGCTGTGGACTGAAAAAATAGAAGTTCAAACCCCAACTGCAGCAGGCAAGTGGCTGGAGAGGACTATAGTACTTCTGCTGCTCAGGATGCTGCCTTACCTTTTGGGGATTAGGGGTGATGCACCGAATGAAGAAGGCATGGCTCCTGCAAAGCAGAAGAAAGGAAGACCCTTTTACCAACCTGTTCTCTGTGCTGACCTGGGAAGATTTCACAGAGCCTCCACCTTTCCAAGACACCTTTCTCCAGCACACAACACCATCCTCTCTTTCTGTCCCAGCAGCTCACAAGCAGTCCCTGCTCAAGCACCCACTCCAATCCATCCGAAAATAATCAAGGAGGGGAAGCTTCTGGGTGCAGCAATCAGCCCAAAGCAGGGATAGCACTGTAACAGCATCTCTCACCTCCTCAGCTTGGCTGTGAGTTCCTGCAGAGACTGCTGGAATTTGGACACCAATGTGGAGGCCTGAGGCTTGAGTCCTTTCCCTCTGGCCCCTAGCTCCCTTTGCTGACTGTAGGCAGCCTTAGCCTTTTGGAAAATGTGAGACACCAACTGGAAAGACACAAAGGAACAACCAAAACTCCCTCAGCTACATGGAAAGAACAGTCTCTTCTATTGTAACTGGAGGATCATTCTCTCTTGCCCCCAGCACTGCCAGGGCCCCAGCTGCATCCTGAGGCAGTCTATAAGTTTTATATGTAAAATGCATCAATTGCAGCCAAAGAAGGAATTGCTGAATTCCCATGTGCCCTTCAGTAGAACAAATCTTCTCACAGTTTCTCCAGGCTCTCCCCAAACCTGATCAGGCTCTTTCTGCTTCTCATATGAAAGACATGAGGGGCTTGTTAGGTGCCTGAAGCAGAGATCCTCATCCACTGCAGTACCTCAAGGCGGCTCTGAGAGAAGATATCCAGCACCTCTGGACGCAGCTGGTCACGGTTTTTAGTAAGAAACCTGTGGACCTGCAAAGGCAAAGCCCGATTTAATGCACAGTACAGATCAACAAACCAGACAGGCAAACGCCTCTCCCACACACACCTTGACTTGGGACAGATAGCTGGAGAGGGGGCTGGGGGTAAGTGCTAGAGACTGAGGCTTGCTGGTCCTGCCGCCACCAAGAGTGGAGAGAAAAGTGCTTGCTGCTTGTAGGAGGGATTGCTCCTTTTTCCCCTCGCAGTGGAAGACGTGGCCAGACAGGCTCTGATGCCTCTCTTTGTCCCCTTCAGCAGCACCAGCTTTCCTGGCTTTCCAGGGCTCTTACATGAGCAAAAAGTAAATAATCCCAGTTACCTACTTTGCTTCTGCCCAGAGCCAGCCCTGGTTGTCTCACCTCACTCCTGATACACTGACACTCTAGAGGGATGTACAGTTACAAAGAGAGGGTTTTGTCCACAGCATTTGGAGCTGGTCCATCAGGACCCCCACACCCACAGCATGCTTCCACCCTGGCCCACAGCTCAGAGCTCCCTGCCAGCCCACAGAGCTTACCTGATAGGTGATGGGGCCTGCAAAGTGCTGCACAGTGAAGACTGGCAGAGGTAGCTTGGGCTTGGTGTACCATGGGCTGTTTCTGTGATGGTAATGACACTTCTGGAGGAAAGTGTGGTCAGTGGCCTGAAAAGGAAACGACAAGCATGTTTCCTGCTGCTGCAGCATATTCTGCGGGTCAAAAGGCCACTGTTAAAGTGAAGGTAGAAACACATAATACCCTTTAAACACACCCCTGTTAATGGGTGAAACTACCCTGCCATATCCATCCTGTAAGAGGGATCAGATAAGAAGAGTTCCTCACCTGAGGCAGTGAAGTCTGGTCATCCAGGATACGCAAGATGCCATGGGGTTTTGCAGAAATGAAATCGAGGCATGACTCATTGTACATCTTGGAAATAGGAATCCAAGCTAACTGCTCTTGGCTATATTCCTCCTGCATGTTAAAGATCAACCAGTCAAATGCAGCCATGAAAACAAGAACAAATTCAAGGAGTTAGCAAACAGATTTGGTTCACTCTTCCGGAAGCTAGTGTTTCCCTGCTGTTAGAAACCCGCCTAGAATTATCTACTCTTGTCTTACGAAACTTCTTTTCAATCTACCAGTGATTTTCCTAATTTAAAGGAGGTAGGCTTCTGGTTGGAATAAGATAAAGGGAATTATGAAAGCCAACAAGTCTGATAAATACACTTCTATTTCCAGGAGCTTGTGAAGTTGTGAGTAAAATGCTACATCGAATCTACCAGAACGGGCTTTAAGAGTACCAACGGAGGTTTGGGGTCCCTGATCCTGACCAAGTTGCTTATAAAATCTGTAAGAGGGAGAAGGCACTAACAATCTCTCTTTCTCTTAATTTACTACAAAATTAGTAAAAGGTAATACCCAGCTTGCTTTGGATGAGGATCCTGTGAGTACTGCTTAACAGGGCCAAGTCCATTCAGTTTCATTCTTCCCCATTAAAGGACACTCTCCAGCTGCTGCTGCCTCAGCTTATTCCATATGTGCTGCCCCCCATCTGCTGTCATGAGTTCCATTTACCTCCTCTTGGGCAATGACAGCCTGGCTGAAAAAATGCTGGAGATGCTCATTGGCAAAGTTGATGCAGAGCTGCTCTAAGCTGTTCACCCCTAGATCCTGCAAAGACAAAAAGGCATCATACTTCCAACCTGCAGCCTCCTAGAAGGCTTTGCCTTTTGGGTATAACACACAGCGCCAGTTAGTACTGATCTGAGCCCCCAGCCCAGGCAGCTTGTTCTAATCAATAAGTTGTAACGAACCCGAGAAATCCAGAACATCTTATGTCTGGTTTGCAAGCTCTCAGCCTGGTTTATTGACTAGGCTGAACAGCAAGAGGCAAAGCAAGCTGTGAAGGAGTACAAAGAAAGAGAGATATACTATTGGATGCACACCCCCACCTATATGCACACCATCATTCTCAGCATGCACCAGTCCAAGCACAGACTTTAAAATGAATCCTAAGCATAAATCTCACAGGCCTTGGCAAGCATGTTGCCACACTCCTGCTCTGCATGTTATTCATTGTTCAGAAGTTTGGGAAGCCCCCAGAAGCTCACTGAGGCAGGAACATGGGTCTATGCATGCCACAAGGGGACTTATTCCTGACAGGGTTGCATGTAGAGTTCTCAAACCTCAATTTCAAAAGGTCTCACCTGCAAGGCCTTTGCTCACAAAAATCCCTGCATCTCTCCTGTCCATGGCCTGATCGAAAACATACTGGATCAGCACAAATTTCTTCAGAAACCTCAGTGGATTCTGGACTAACTCTTACTCAGGCTAGGAACCCTAACTCAGGCTAAAGCACATGAAAAAAATACATTTGAATAGACAGTGTGAACATATTTCCAACTTCATTCAAGTCTTCAGGAACAAATGGGAACAGTTAGATTAAAATTCTATCAAAAATGTTTTTGTTATCTATGTTAGGAGTAGCACCAGCAACAAATAAAATGTGATTCATTAAGAGCTACCTCATTCAGCTCCCTTCAGCAGCATATTTATATCAGAAATTCTGCTGGGTTTGGTCCACAAAAACAGGTTAGTGAATGATCTGGCTCCCTGAGCTACTTTTTTTTATCTGCTTTTTAAAGGAATATGTTTATGGGTAAACGTTCTATGAAACTTTGGGGGATTTTGTCAAATCTTCTTCATATAGGAATAGAATCATGGAGTCAAAATCGCCAGGTGTCCTGTTAACATCACAAATAACCTCTTTGATTTCTAAACTCCAGCGCACTGGCTGAAACCACAGTTTTGATCTGTGTTCAATACAGTACGTCAGTTAATACAATGGGTCAGATTCACATTTTGACTGTAAGTGCTAGTTTGGTCCAATTTTAACCCAAATCATTTTCCTCTTCCTTAGAAGGACAAATCCAAAGCCAGGTATGCGTACTATTTGTGCAGCACCATACTGGTCACTTTAGGCAAAGGTATGAAACAGGCAAGGCCGAGATGGTAGGAGCACCAGAAACCATTCTCACCATTTGAGGCTAGGTTTTTAACTGCCTACATCAGTTGAGACTCCACCTACACACCAATCCACCCAGTTGTATGTGCCTTAGGATTCTACCTATGCCGTAAGTCATGGGCTCCTCCAGCTGGCAATTCATGGCAAGAACCTATAGTAACTGTGTTAAATCACCTCCTGAAGGAGCCCTTTTCACTGCTTCTGAAGGAGAAGTACCCCCTGCCCCAACACAGGCACTTAACTTACATGGAACCAATACTGTCTCCTTTCTGCAAAGACACATTAGATTGCCTCCCATCTCTGGCAGTGACTGAGAATTAGCGCACACACTTGCAGCCCATAAAATATGAAAGGAATGCAAAAAGTAACCTCAAAACCATATATGTCCACAATGCCCACAGTGCAGTCCGTTTCCGAGGGAGCCAACCACTCATTGATCCTCAGCAACAGCCATTCAAAGAGAAGGTAATACAGAGTCTTTGCAATGGAGTCCCTGAGTGGGAGAGGGGAGTAAAGAGTTACAGCAGAGACGGCACCCTTGGGTGCATCTCACCAACCCAGACAAACAGCAGCAGGAACTACCTGGCATCAGTGGCTCCTTCTACAGACAGAGGGGTGACGATCCGATCATAAGACATCACCTGGACACATAGGAAGAGCTGGGATTTACTGTTATTATCTTGCAAATATACCTCTTTTTTGGAAATCCACAAGAAAATCAGCCTAGCTTAATACAGGGTTTTCTTTTTGGCCTCAGAATTTCCCCAGGTGCCACAATGGCAAAAAAAAAAAATCTGCTACTTTACAGTCTCTTCACCCTGACAGAGCTGCCTTGAGGGGTTCAGCCCATCCTTCCTGATCCAGCATAGGAACCATTTTGCAGCATTTTATTTCTGCAGTTACTTCCCAGATTTTGGACCCTGCAAGATGGCAGCCCTTATGCTGACAGAGCATGTCATCCCTCAGGATGAATGAAAAAGGGGCACAGAGGTACTCACAGTGACCCGGTGAGTGATAGCACTTTGCAGAAGATCTGCTGAGATGCTCAACAAATTGGCCACAATCCGAATCTCAGTATCACTGGCAATGGCTGCATGTTCAAGTGATCCTTTCTAAATAATGGAGAAGAACAGTAGATTCAACTGTGGACTGAATACCAGACACCAGATAAAACTAATACCCTTGGCAGCATCTCAACAGCACAGAGACAGGTCACATCCTGGGCAAAACACCACCATCTAGGTTCACTTTGGCTCCCCAAACAGCTGCCCAAGCTCTAATGACCCTTGGTTGCCTCCCATCTTCTGTCCCTGCCTAGGTCAGTCTGGAACCTCACATCCAAGGAACAGGACGGTCTTCAGATGATACCACGTTCAGTCAAGAATAACATCCCTGGACGCATCACATGGGACAACTGCAATGTGTTCAGCACTAGCAGCCCAATCCCAAGCTGCCAAGGGTTAGCGTACCTCATAGGAGGTAAAGCAGATGTTCCCTAGCTGCAGAATGGCAGCCAGCACAGTCCAGGTGGAGGTCAGCTGCTCATCGGAAAGGCTGATTCTCTCCAGAGCTTGCACCAAGACCACAAAGTCCTGACTGTCCTCCTTCCCCAGGATGTCACATACTCTGCCCTAAGATAAAAGGGACAGATAATCATGGCCAGTCCCGTTTGCCTCCAGCTGTAGCTGAGGTCCCAGCAGCGAGCTTCAACAGTAAGGGCTGGAGGCATCTGAAACAGAAAAATCAGAGACACCACAGCCAGCTGCCACTAGTGGGAGCTCAGCATTCATAACAGATCAGTCTCATTTCTCCCTAGAGGTTGTGAGAGCAAGATCTCTCTTGCCCACAGATGATATGTTTTGATTACGCTTCCAATATGGGCACCAGACCCCTTACTCGCTACTGCAGTGCGACTCGACAGGAGAGGAGATGCTAGACTCTCCTCCAGCTGAGGCATGCCAGAGTTACTACCCTAGATGGTACCAGAACCTGATGTTTCAAGGCAAAGCAAATTGGTTTCTATACGCATAGAGAGCAGTCTTGGGCTTTAGTTTCATCTCTGACACAAGAGTTTCACTATGGGCAAATCACTCATCCTTCTTGTGCCTTTCTCTGCAAGAATGACACTGCTAGCAACCACCTGTGATCCTGAAGCACATGGAGGTCGTGGGTGAAGGCAATCTGTAGAACTTGTCAGTTGGGAGTTTTCATCAGAGACTGCCCTTGTACAGAGACATCAGATTCAGATAAGGAAAAGAATGAGGTCCAGGCAGCTCTTGGGGTTTTTCTTGCCAAGCCTGAGATCCAAGAGAGATCTGAGAGAGATTTTGTCAGTCTCTGCTAAACTTCCTTCCACATGATCTGATCTTTTTCCATTTCTTTTCTGCAGCAAGCTGAGACACTCCTGTTAGCTACCACCTAGAACATCACACCTCCTAGGGCCTGGTTTACAACACAGAGCCTTTGCCACTAGAAACCCTCATGAGACTATAGGAACATCTTCCTGCAGAGGTAGTTACATCATCTCTGCAAACAGTGCTGACTGAGCTGACAAAAAACATACTCCTCTCAGAGCAGCTGCATCATATCCAGCAGGTTCTGGCAGGACAATGCTGGTGACAAGTGCAAGTTTTCCTCAGCATAAGTCAACACAGCCCTGCCAGCAGACCTCAGATCCAGGCCAGAAACAGTATAGTTTTGCTTGGTTATTCCCAGGTGGTAGAGAAAGGTATATTATCAACCTCTAAGACAGATTTCCCCTCAAGCAGGTAAGTTTTCTAGCCCTTAGCAATTGTCTAATAAGTATCTATTGGGTAGGATGGGCTCTTAATTGTCCTCCATCCTTGAGTCATTAATTCTACTTGTTCCTTCCTTGCCTGAAGGAAAGATGATAGCAATCATTTGTCAAAGGCTCCTCAAAAGGCCACAGCTGCTATAAAAGGGTTTTTTCCACCTGGGAAAGCTGACCCACACAGCTGAAAGATATCTTGCTGTAGCTGGGAACTCCCTGGGTATGGAAACCATTATCAAACAAAAGCAATCGTGCTCCGAGATGATGCCTTGCCAGAAGTTGGGGGAACAATTTTCTAATTTAAATAAATCTCAATCAAAAGTGTATTTCAGTCGTTTTAGACTTTCAACCCATTGACTCAGTCAAGTAATCAAGTGTGTTTTGGAGAAGGTAAAAAGAAATCCTCCTTGTTCTTTTTAGTCCCATAATAAATTACAAATGCAAAAGGTGATGAGCAAAGGATTTCCACACCACGACGTGGAGCCAGGGGGCCACATGATGGCTGAACTTTTTTAAAAAGGCTTTCTTTGGGAGCAGCAGGGGCCAGGAAGGGTGAAAAAAAAGAGGAAATAAGACACCAAGGCATTCCTTCTTGTGTCAGGTGTGAGAAGGAGCAGAGCAAACTTCAGCATAGTCCTGTGTGGTTCATCAGGAGAGAAGCAAAGTTATCAGGTGCCTCATAAAGGGCCCTGCTAATCAGAGAGAAGTGATATCTCAGCAATTTCACTCTATCAACTGCTGCAGAGTGCCGTCACCTCACTCACCTGATTCAGGTAAAAGTAAGACTCTGCCTCTTGCAAGAACAACTCCTCTTTCTGCTCCATAGGCAGCCCAGCCAGTAGCTCATAAAACACATGGTAGTTCCTCTCACCATGGGCCTAATAGGGTACACAGTTTATAGAATTGACTTGAGTCCAGTTCCAGAACCCTACAGAATGCATGCTGCCACAAACCAAATACTCAGGTAAGTGGACACTGAAACTCTAAGGTCAGTAAGATGAAGGCAGAAACCACCCAAGAACTGGGTCATTTGAAAAGTTTCCAGGGTTTCTCACTGACACCTTAAGAGCATTCCATCTGAGAGCAGTTCCTTTCACAGGGCTGCAATATCTGACCCTTTCCAGACTCCAGACATCATGAAAAATTGGGTGAGAAAAGACTTAACTTTCAGTAAGCCCTAATAAGTGGCTTAGTTCGACCTGCTTGGGGTAGAGAGAGCTCCTGTGTTATTCGAATAAGAGAAGTGACCACCTTGTGACATATTTCTTGCTGACAGAAGAAACGGGAGGCAATTCTTATACTTATTCCCATCCCCTTTATTTAACAGTGAACTTAAGATAAAATATGAATAATACAAAGAGAGTGAGGGACTCCTCTAGCAGGGAGGGGTTCATTGATCCTCACCTGAAACACCACACGAGACTTCTCCAGCAGGTACTGGGAGATGGACATTCCCACCATGGCCCCACTGAGTACAAGAAGGAGACATCCTGTCAGAGGCTAGTGATGGGTTTCCTATAGACCGTTTTTCTGAGGGTTTAACAGAGGGAGGGAGTTGTTGCTAAGAAACAAGGGTACAACCTGACCAACTTGATCTGAATGTTGAAGACATCTTACACTGGCATTTTGAATCAGACTATTACTCAGAAAGCAGCTATAAAACATCACTCAGGATTCAAGTTTGGGTTCTGAACAACCTTCAGAGTACCAGGGAGCCTGAAATTGAATGATTCTCACAGGGTATGTCCCCAAAATGTTCAGGGGATGAGCTACACACCTTCCCTTCAGCCATCTCTGATTACTGTTGCATTATCACTCCCCTGTCTGTCCCTACCCACCTATTCCTTATGTCAGGCTGACAGTTTTTGGGGACAGGGACCACTTTTTTGTTTTGTACTTGAATTTCGTCTTGCACAAAGTCATCCCAAACCAAAAGTAGGAGGCCCAAGTGCTACAGTAATAGTGGGCTGAGGCAACAGCAGTTTGAAGTTAAGCTGCATGCAAGGCTCTATAGGCCTGTAAGCCCATCTGCCTGTCTGCCCCAGGCAGATTAGGCAGAGGTGTAATGAAGGACAGAATTACTGGGCATCTGAATAAGTACAGTTGATGTGAGAAGTGTCGATATGGCTTTGGTAAAGGGAGGTCCTGCTTCATAACCTCCTAAAGTCCTCTGAATGAGATGATAAGCATGTAATTATGGGTGATCCGACAAATATAGTCTACATGGATTTCCAAAAGATTTTGACAAAGTTGCGGGACTTTTAAGGAAACTGAGCAAGCATGCTGTAAGTGGGAAGATCCTGATATGGATATATAATTGGCTAAAAAATAAGAAAACAATTCTAAGAATAAATGGCCGATCCTCATAACAGTGGGAGGTTCACAGAGTGTCCGTCCTCTGACCTGTGATATGTAACTCAAGGTTTCATAAGTGACCTAAAAGAGGAGCTGAATAGAAAGATGACAAAGCTTCCTGATAATATGAAGTTATTCAAGGTAGCAAGGATGAAAGCCAACTGCAAATAAATGCAGATAGATTTATAATACTGAGTGACTGAGCAATAAAATGGCCTATGACATTCACAGTAGATAAATGTAAAGTGATGCACAAGTAATCCCAGCTTCACATATGAACAGACAGGCTCTGAGCTAAGAGTTACTATTTAGGACTGAAACCTTTGGGTTATAATAGACAGTTCCACAAAAAACATCAGCTCAGTGCCTGACAACAGTCCCCCTCCTCTTCCCCTTCCCCCCACCCCCCCCAAAAAAAAACAGATGTTAGAAAGGCAGGTTCAAAATGAGAGGTGTTTTCTCATGGAACTGGTTAGACCTGTAGAACACTTACAAAGACTGTTACAGATGCATGAAGTTTACATGAGTTCAAGAAGAAACTGGAAAACCACAACAGGCTCTGAAAAACTCCTGAGCTGAAAACAGTCAAGGGCTTTGAGAGAAGCATCATATATATTTGGTCTGTTTTTGCTGTTGCCTCAGTGGACACTTGTTGCCAGTGTTGATTTATATTGTTCTTTGATATGTTCTTAATTTGTTTCCCATTTTGAGAGACAAAGATCTATTCTTTTGTGGAGGAAACTTAAAGCAAAGTAGCGGCGTAAATTCACCCTCCTCCTATCCTGACGAAAACAAGAGTATGAAGGAGGGAGGGCTTTTGCATGATCCTTGAGTATTGCTAGACATTTCCTCACCCAAGCAACCCTGAATATCTGGGAAGGGCAGCATCCCATGATGTCCCTTTAACTCACTGTTGCAGGTGGACATGCAGAAGCTTCCCAAAACGACTTGAGTTGTTGTTGAGAATGGTTCTGGCATTCCCAAAACTCTCTAGGATAGGTAGGACATTGCAGGGCTTGAAGAAAAGAGGGAGAGAACACTCTAGTAGGAGTCATAGATTTCAAACCCAGAAGGAACCTAAGTAACTGTTATTCTGAAAATCCAAGTAAGATGGGACTTCACTGAATTAATTCCAGCTCGGCTATAGAGTCTCTTTTCGAATTTATCATGGCATAATTATCTCCGCCCAGGAGTGAGTAGCTGTATGAGCTTTTCCCCTTCACTGCAATAATCTGTCACTTTACTTCTGCTCTGTGTCTGTTCAGATTCAACTCCCAGACACTTTACAAGGTCTCTGAGGCAGGTATCCTCTTTCTGCCCAGATATATCAGCCTGTACAGCACCAGGGCTCCCAGATACTAAAACAAACAACAGCAGGTAAACCAGCTGTGCCTCTGGCTTCATGGCAGCTTCACCTTGAACCTCAGCCCATCCAAAGCCCAGTGAAACAGGAATGGAAAACAGCATGAACAATATGGCCTCTTGGACTAACTTTGGCTTCCATTCCTTGCCAAGCCATCACAGCACAAACTCTTACCTGTGTGATCCTGCAGCTGTCTGATCTCTGGTGCAGCATGGCCAGGTACTGCACAACTGCTTTGGCAGCTTCTGTTTTACCTGACCCACTGTGTCCACTGGAGGAACAAGAGTTAAGGAAGTAGGGGTCAAAACAGATTTATGTAATACGGCCATATCAGAGGTCTTGTTACAGTAAATCAGCAAAGTTGTGCTGGTTTACAATAAATGAAGATCTGTCACATATTGTTTGAAACACTGAGACAACTTGGCAAAACAGGCCCAAATAAGAATCCACTGTGGAAGGACAAAGTCCTTTTCTCCCAGAGGAGAACTAAATTCAAACTATATTTGTGCAAAGTGAAAGAAAAATCCATCTTATTCATGTTCTCTACTCACAGCTTTCACACAGGAGCCTGAGTGACAAATTCATGGCCAGTGAAATACAAAGATGAAAGTCTTAGGAAATAAATAAGCCTTTAAAAGAGCACCTTCATTTCCTACCTGATGATGACACACTGCTCTTGTGCTGATGACTGGGATAGCATGTAGGCCATTTCTGCTATGGCAAAGATGTGTCTAGTTGTACAGAAAGGAAAGCTCAGTTAACTAAACTGACCCTACATTTCTGCCGCGCAAACATGGCACTGAAAAGTTATTCATCAGTGATCTGCATTAGAGATGGGCCACTATCATGATCTGAAAAATGCAAGGAGTCACAGAAATCAGAGCTTTGTTCTTGCTCACTTTAGGCCAATATTACTGTTAAAAGGCAATTCAAGGTTCAGGCTCCTGCAGGACCTCTTCAGCCCAACCTGAATAATGCTTTGTGCCATGATATTTAATATAGTTGGCCCCAACAGTCTTATCTGCACTAAAGGAACCTGCCTAAGTTGCTAGCACTGTGCCAGTGATAGCAATGGGAAGCACATATTGCCAGGAACTCCTCAGGTATAGGCACGCATTACAGTCCTAGCCAGCATCAAATCTAGGACCTTCAACCATTAACGAAGAGACTTGAGCTAAAGAGATTAGCTCTGTAGTATTACAGGTTCAGGCAACTACCACTTTAGTAAATGGAATGTTCACTTCCTGTGGCATTCATCCTGCTCTATCAGACATCCTGAAGCAACTAAAACAGTTTCCACAGCCCAAAGGGAATAGAGTCTAGGGAGTTATTTGAGAAAGAGAAACATACGGGGCATTTTTGGAGAGATTCCCTTGCTGGTACTGGGTGGCCACATCTTCAGAGTAGATATTGAGGTCTTTGAAAGGATTCACAGAAACCAAGATTTGTCCAATGTAAGTCTAGGCCAAAAATAAGAACAGGGAAAAAAAGGTTTTGGTATGTCTGGTGGCTTATTAGAATTTTCTGAATGAGGAATGCAACTAACTGGGAATACATATACTAATACAAAGAATAAAATGAGCTTTAAGGGAATACTGTATACTCTGACTATGCTGCCAGCTCATTCAGGCCATAGCACGATTTTCTAGCAGTTATTTTCAAAGCTGCATCATTAATATTGTGGGAGAAGAGGATATATTTTCTTCTCTGGTCACTTCCTATTCTCTAAGCTCCATACGGCGTTTCAAGCACAGGTTTGAATATCTGAGCTAGTAAGTGAGAAAGAGAACAGTTGTTCCTCTAACTCCAGACTGCACATGAAATGTTTGCAGAAACTCCAAAGTTTCATCTTGAGCTCCACAAATTTCACTTGGAATTGGTTTGCTAAGACGGGAGTTCTCTCCACTAGGAGCAGCTGAGCCTGAAACTGAACCCAAGCACGCTCAAAAGGTGGTGACAAATACCAAAATTCAAAAGAAACTCTGGGGCTTTCAGATTTCACCACAAACATTTCATGCTGCCCCTTTTCTGAATGAAAGCAGTATGGGTCCTTCTTATCACTGTTCCTAGGAATGAGCAAGCTCTTGCATTACTTGGTGAAATATCAAAGCCTGATGGAATGAGAGAAATCATTCTCTCTTGAAGCTCCTTGTTCAGGATGAATGAGCACTGAAGAAAAAATATATCACTACCCGTACATAAATGAGATTGCGATGGAACCTCTTCTTCAGACACAGCAGAACTGAGTGCTCACAGACTTCCCTAGAAACAAAGGAAAGGACTTGTCAGCCATAGGCTTCACTTGCATGCTTTAATGTTAACCTTTCTACCCTCCCAGAAATTTTGTATGAGGCTGGGATATGAGACTATTCACTGTCCTTAAGTGGTTCCAACCTGTCCAGGATTAACCACATCAGAGAGACTAAAGTAGCCAAAGCTCAGAACATCCAGGCTGTTTCTGTCTGTATGGTCATGTCTCCTTGCGTACAGCCTTTACAGTTGTCTCTCCGAGCAGGATGTTAAGGGTAGAGGGTGCCAGGGCATGTGTGAGGAGCCATGTTAGGTGTTCCTCTTTTGACAATAGCAGTAAACCCATGATTTTAAAACTGTTAAAGATTTAGGGCTGGAGTTTGTCATAGTTGCAAGCAATAAGAGTTGCAAGAGCCATAGATGTCAGCATCAGTAGGAACGTGACAGAAACGTCTCTCATCCTGAAAGCCTTCCTGATTTGCTGCCCACTTCACGCAACAAGAATGGTATGTTCAATTCACGGTTCTGTCCCTCTGCAACGTCACAGAGGTCACATCAGCCTCTAGACCTCATTTCTCCTATCCATAAAGTAGATTTGTTTTTTAAAACTCATTTTAGGCCTAGGAACAGTTTAACAGGAGAGCTAGAGTTCTCTGGATGCATCTGTAAGAAAGTTTACTAACCATGGTGAGCTACTCTCTCTGCTGTGTGACCCTCGAGATTCAGCGTGCACTCTCTGTGTAACAGAGTGTGGGGACACACTGCACACAGTGTAGTCAGGAGTTTCCTCTGCACCTGACTCAGTGCAGGTCCATGACTTAAATAGTGCAATTCAGCCTTTTACTTAGCTTTCCTCAGCAGCATCATACCTCTAATAGGGTACGCACTAAATTCATTCAATGTTCTCAAGTGGTAGCCAAGGGTCTACAATATGCTTTCTGCGGCTGAGCCAACAGGAGCTTTAAAGGATAACAAACCAGCCCCTGTGACTTTCAGTTAGCTTCAGATCACTGCTGACACTACGTACTCCAGTCCAGTTAGATCTTCAATCTCCTCAACTTCCACACTGTGGTCTTCATCCGTGTACACCTAAAATACACAGGCACATTACTGAAAATTAGAAGTTCAGCTTCATCCCACGGAATCATAGAATGGTTGAGGTTGGAAGGGACCTCTGGAGATCATCTAGTCCAACCCCCCTGCTCAAGCAGGGTCCTCTAGAGCGCATTGCACAAGATCGCATCCAAGCAGGTTTTGAATATCTCCAGAGAAAGAGACTCCACAACCTCTCTGGGCAATCTGTTCCAGGGCTCTGTCACCCTCACAGTAAAGAAGTTTTTCCTCAATCCCAAAACACTCTGTTCAAATGTCCCCTATACCTGTTTCTGCATTACATCCATCTCTAGCATATCCTCAGTAATATCTTCTGCTTCCCACTCATCCCTGAAGACCTTCATCCCATGGCTGTTTGCCAGATGTGGGTCCTTGTAAATGGTCCATTTGCTTAGGTTCTCAATGGTGAGTCGTGGGAGCAGCAGTTCAGACTTCAGCCATGCCGCAGGATCATATCCCTGAGCCTGCTGCTGAGACCAGTGAACATAAGATATGACTTTGGACGCTGCAGTCTGAAGGGCACCTGAATTCTCGTTGACATCTACCTTCCTGGAATAATCTACTCTATGCCTTGAATCCTCTTCTTGCTGCGGAAGGAAGCTCAGAGCATAACAGTAATTTCCAGATGCTTCTGAAGAAAGGGAGAGTTTAGTGTCTTTGTGGTGAGACTGCAAGTCTTGCCCAGTGGTGAAGAACTGGGATGTGGAAGTTTCCTCAGGAGTTTTGATCTGCTGGGGCGAGGAGCTCAGAAGCCTAGTCACTCTGTATTGGGTTGCGGTAGATGTCACCTGTCTTGCACTGCCTGCTCTTGATGCAAATATTTCACCATTGCAGGAATACTGTTGGCTGTTTCTCTGAGAGGTTTGATCCATCAAAGATCTGGGAACGTCACAGTGGAATCTGCAGCCCTGTTGCACAGGTATCATAGATTTTCTGCTTGATAGAGTTGTCACTTTCTCCAGGGAATAATCACTCCCAGAGCCCCCAGATAAGGAACTCTTTGTCTGAACCATGCTGTGGACTCTAGGGAACTTTACAGCAAACTTGGCATCAGCAACATTGTTCTTCTCCTCATCATCCAGGCTAAGTATGTAAGGAAAGGAACTGGTTCCATGAAGAGGGGAATCATCAGAATGCAAATCAGTATGCCTCAGCTCCTCTGCCATTTCAGCACCACCTCTCCCCTCTACTAACCGCCAAAAAGATTCTTTGTCATTCAACTCATCCATCCCCAGTTGTCCCGCTGCACCAGGGCAGGCTTTGCAAGACCTACCAACCCACCCAGCGGTGCTTGCAATCCTGATTGCCGTTCTCCTTCTGAGTCCAAAAGGCTTGCTGCTCCTCTTCATTTTCCCAAATTTCTTCAGAAGCCATCTTGAGATACCAATTGCACGCGCCACACTCAAAAGACGAGCTTTCAGGCTTGCTTTCTTGGCAGGTTTTTGACTGAGCCAGCTGGTGACTTTTCTGAAAGTAGAAAGGGTGTGCAAGTATTTGGATCCTTTCCTAGCTTGCACATTTTCTTTTTCAGAAGGTGCATCTGCAATCACTTCTTCTTCTGCTTTCTCTTCTGCCTCTACAGTCTGGCCTAAACCCAGTTTAACCTTTCCAATAACTTTTCCAACTCTCTTCCTCTTGCAAAGGAGCTGCTTATCAGCTTGATTTTTTGTAATAGAGGAGCAGTTTGAAATATTTGAAAGAGTTAATCTTTTCTCTGCAAAACTCTGAGCTATGTTGGGCTCCTTATGTATACTGAGAGTTTCTAAAGTGGTGGGTTTTGAACAGATGCTTTCAACCTTTTTCAGGTCAGGACTGGTTTCCAAAGCCATCTGGACAGAATTTGTTTTACAGCTTGTTAATAGTTTCATCTCAGCTTCTTTATGTTTGCCTTTCATATTGAGAAGGACTTGGGATGGAAAAGAGCATTTGTTTGTGAACATCCTCACTGCTAACTCCTGCTTGCTACAGTCTAAGGAAGAACTGTCTGTTTGTATTTGTCCCATCACTTTACTTTGTTCTGCAGTCTCACACCTCCTGGATTTCTCTTTCAATGTCATTTGCTGCTTGGACAGCAAAGGGCTATCTTCTAGTGTGCTGCCTTCGTCATTCACCTTCTCTTCTTCTTCAGTTCCCTGAGGTACTTTCCTAAGGCCAATGTGATGGAGTTTTGCTTTCACAGCCCTAGACAGTGGTTTTCTTCTTATATCATCTTTTCCTTTGTCAATGCTCACTTCAGTGTTATTCTCCCCGTTGCTGTTAGAATGATCATGGTCATCTTTTAACATGTCTTGATCCTTGTCCTTTTCTAACATAATTTCCTTGCCTTCTCTATTATTGTCTCCATCATTTTCTCTGTTGTTAGGACTTGTGAGTTGGGACCCTGAAACACTTGCATCATCATCTTCCTCACGGCTCTCAGCTAGAATAGATTTTGTTTGTCTTGGCATGTCATCTTGCTTCTTCAGTTTCTCCTCTACCTCTAATCCTGCAAAGTAAGTGTCTTCATCCTCAGATTCTTTCCTTCCATCTATGGTCACCTGCTCCCTTTCAGTTTCACTAGCTGTTTCATTGCTTTCATCAAGCAGCTTCTTGAAGCCTTTTCCTTCAGCCGCAGGAAGTTCTTCCAGAATGTCTGCTTTCTCACTGATGTCGTCCTCCTCTGAAGAGCTTCTCTTGTCTTCACTGCTTTCAGTGCCGTCAACTCCAGTCTTGTCTTTACCTCTTTTATGGGTCCAGTGAGCTTCACTGCTTGAGTTAGAACAAGAGTTATCTGAAGTTTCCAGGATCTTTTCTTCTGCACTTTCAGTGACAATAATCCTGGCATGTTTTCCAACTTGCTTTTCCCCAGTTCTCTCACCTTTCCTCCAGATTACACTGCCTTGGAATTGAGAACCTGACTCATTCTCAGAAGCTTCCTTAGAGCCATGATTCTCCCTGTGTTTTTTCCCAGGTCTGACATTGTCTGCCTTCTGTGGCAAGTCATGTTTCTGAAGAGAGCCTTCAACAATTTGCGCTGCAAAGGACTTTACAGACTCTGACTCAGTGACTTTTTCAATAACAACAGGACACTTTCCACACTTCCTCTTAAAACTCTGTTTCTTGCTGTTTACAGTGGCCTCTTCCTCCTTACCAGTACTGTCATCACTTTCTTGTCCTGATGTCGGATCCTGTTGTTTGGAGGCCTTTCCTTTTTTCTTCGCTTTGGACACTAATTGTTCTCCATGTTTTCTCCCAAAACTAGATTCTCTCTGATCATTGCTCTTGGAGGCTCTCTCTTCCCGGAATAATTTCTTGTGGCCACTTTCTTTGCTTCCCTTAGGCCTCACCAGCCTCTGGCTTTTTAAGGTGTCCTGTTCAAGGGTTTCATCTTGTTCAGGTAATGACTCTTTGCCCATCAGCTGGCCTTTACTCTTTTCTTCCCACTGTCTCCCACAACGTATCTTTGAATCTCCAGGAGAGCTTGCCTTTTTCTCACAGTTCAGCACTTTCTCCTTTCCAAACTTTTTGCGCCAAGTCTTGGATCTGGAAGGAGCCATTTCTCCAGTGTTCAGAAGGATGTGAGTGTTTATTCCAGTTCACCTATGAAAGGAAACATCGTGCATTTTGCTGTGAAAAAAGCTACAAAAAGAGGCCAGGTCCTCATAAGTGATAATTACCTCATTTCTGTAGAACTGAGCAAATGTTTGCAGAACCAAACCTATACAACTGTGGAATACCATGCTGACTGTCTTGCACCAGGTTAGTCTCTATTTCATTTTGTCATGAATCACCCTTTTTTTTTTTTTTTTCTCCTTTTCATTAGGTCTCTTTCCAGAGGCCGGTCTTATACAGACAACTGAATCAAAGTCCATGATTTTCCACAGCTGACAAAGGTTTGGCCACACTGTAGTTTAAGAAAGAAGGATTCTTTTATTTCAGGTTTTTCTTCTCTGTTAACCTTCTTTGTGTCGAAGGACAGAGGACAGATCTAATGATCTACACCAAATTAATGAACAGTAAACTATTAACTCAGTTTCCTAGGTGACTAGAATTACAATTGGTCCTATGTGAACTGCACTAGCTTGAAGGCTGAAAATACAGGATACTGAGTAGATGCTGTATCACTGAGTAGAACTGAAAAGACAACAACCAATTGTTTAAAAAAAGGCATCTAACTCAATGGTTTTTGTAATCATTTTATATTCTCTCCCCTTTTATTCTAGCACTTCTCTCTTAAAAAATAAGTGCTGGCTAAGTTTAAATAAATAGGTTAATTTTAGTTAAATAGTAGCTGTTTATCCAAGGAAAAACTTTTTAAGTTTTCTGCAGTGCAAGAGAAGGACATCATTAAATAGATCATGCTCAAGATTTGACCTGTCCTGAAATTACAGTTTAGCCCAAGTAGCAAAATTTATATGTGGAAACCAGCTCTTAGAGCAAATAATAAGTCTGCCCCTGAACAGCTCTGCTGAAATCATATTGGAGAGAAGGCTAAATAAATCAGTGAATAAATGAGGAATAGGAAGAAGAAAGAAGAAATGAAGTGGTGGAAAAATAAATATCATAGGGAGAGTGGAGATAACAATAAAAATTCAATCAAGTGATCAGATAATCTCTGCAGAAAAAAACAGTTAAAACTAAGTAGGTTAACTCTGTAGTATAAGTCTGCTCTTCAGAATTGCTTCTGACACATAAAATACCGAGTGAAGATTGCTTTTTTTAGGATAGCATATGTTAGTTCCTACCAGCAAAAGGATTTTCACACCAATATAACTGATTCTACATTAGGATTTTTGTCGATGCGTAACCATATTGCCAAAGCATCCAGATAAATCCTTGCAAACATATTTACACCAAAGAAAACTCCTACTACTGACCCGGTACACGTCAGTGGAATTGTTTGACACCATCTTTTCTTTTACCATGATGGGGCTGATTTTGAATGCTATATTCCAGGAACAAGCATTCAGTGCCTTTCTGGCTAAACTGAGCAAGAAGTCAGAAGCAAATATTGCTCCATTAGGCAAAGGCACCTCCACGCAACTCCTCCTGGGTGTGCTGTTATTAGCTGGTAGTTTAGGGAATGGTCAGTATTCTAAGTGTTAATCAGCATTGCTTACCTCTTTATCTTTTCTCTAATCATAAGCAGGAAATAAAGGATGTAAAAGTGCCCATAGGATTAGTCCTGATCTTTCAGCCTGTTGGGAAATATCACCTCTATCCCTTCCAGTTACAAAGAACTTTTATTTTATGAGTCGGCCTCTTGCTGCTCCAGACAGACCAAAATACCACTTGGGCTCCAGGTTCAAGTTCTACCCATTTGTCTGAATGAAGCGTTAATGGCAGAGCCTGGTTTTGATCCCACAGTCACTAAACACTTCAAGGCAAAGGTCCAAATCAGAGAATAGCAAGAGCATAACTGAAAGGAAATGATGGAATAGAGAAAGGAAAACTGGGAGGTGAATGGAGGAAGAGAATAAGACATAGAAAAACAAATCTTTTAGCAAGGAAACCCAATAGTCTTCATTATCATTTCCAAAAAAAAAAAAAAAAAGTAAAAAGCCTCCTATAAGGGACATTCTTAGCTACCTTAACCATGACACTAGCTAATGACGCACACGGACAAACCAGCACACAGGACAAAGGGAAATTCTATTAGGTATTTTGTCCTCTCACTTCCTTCTATGTTAAACTCTTCTCTCCCCTTGCTCCTTCATTCTCTTTCTCTTTGCTTTATAGACAACTCTGTAGATTCTCTACAGGAAGAAGAGATCCTTCTATCATATTCTTACAATCTCTCTCAACAGGCAACTGAGGACCTAGCAGTCAAGATTCTGTTATTAACTCCCACCTTCATCATAACTCCATGAGGTGTTAACCTAACTTACCTAAGGGATGAAGTACAGTGTCTGGAAGCCTTCAGAGGTAGGATTATTGACAGGACACTGGCAACATGTTTATCTGGCTCACTGCAGCCTCCTGGTTGCATGGTTGCAGTGTACAAGTTGTGACAGAAGTACCCAATAACAATGGGGACTGCAAAGACACACCAGAAGGGTGAGCAATTTTTGATAGAAGGGATTGAGTTGGGAGGATTAGCTTTATTATACAGTACCAATGTTTTTTCCCTGTATGAAAAGTAAAGCCTTGCTGGGTATTGCACGCACACTGCTAGCCCAAAAGGGTTCTGAACAAAGTTTTTTGGAATGTGCTTCCATCCTGTCTAAGGTCTCTTCTTGCTCTAGGGCAAGGGGAGGGGGAGGAAGAGTGAGTAGTTAAGATGGCAAGTTAGCATAAAGCTTTAAATCTTTGTAGCTACTACAAAACTTGATGAGGAATGAGAATTTTTAACATTTAGCACCGGAAGAAGGCAGTCCACCTGCTCTCCAGAATGT